ATTGAGGAGTGTCTTTTTAGTGTCTTGAAGAGCATTTAGTGTCATGATTGAGAAGCATCTTGAAGCATATTGTGAGAGTGTTTTTCTCTTGCCCTTCCTTCCTCAAACCCTAGCTATAAAACCCTAAAAATTAACGGTCATGATCAATGGTCATGATCAATAGTCATGACCAATAGTCATAATTTTCATTCTCTTTAATGACGATTGCTTCCTAGATTCTAGTGATATATCAATTTTTTAACAATACTTTAATTTTTCAAATGGTAAGATATATTTATTAGACAAATCCACTATGAACATAAATTTGACGTGTTCTTTTCAAAGAGACAATTATTCAATACTTTAGATATTAAGATATATGTAATTGATTGTGAGAGGAATAATACTATTGAAATGAATGGGATTATGAGCAAGAGGCACCAATTAATTATAAGAGTTGTAGCATTTGCACACAACACAACCTTTCCAAGCTTGACTCTCTCTCACTTGTCACAAAAGAATGAAACTCTTTTGAAGGGAAGATTGCATGGACATGAGAGGGAAAATAAACTATCAATGTTACAACTCTTATGATTAATCAGTGCCTCTCATTTCAATTCATTTCAATAGTATTATTCTTTTCATAATCAATTATACAATTAATATGGTGGCTCTTTAAGATTCTCATATCTTTCTAGATTCTAAATGGTTGTGAAAATTTGCAAGGACACAACTAATTAAAGCTCATAATACAAAAGAATATCTTTGTTTTTTTTTGTCAATTTCTCCCTAAAGTTTTTCTAAGTGCTTAAGGAAGGAGAAGATATAAAAGAATTCTACTTGAAGTTCAATCAAGAGCTTTTAATTGTTTTCTCTAAGAGTGTTATAAAAGAAAGCTTTCTTTACAAAAGATTCAAGCTAAAGCCGAAATCAATTAGTTTAGAGAATATATGTTGTGATAAAGGTAATCAAATAGAAAAATTCATTCTTCTCGACAATGGTGTGGGAAAGAATGGGATTCAATGAGATCTTAATAAATGTACAAGTTAGGAGATTTTAATTACAAAATCTTTAGAGGAGAATGCATTAATTTTATAGCCAATTGTGCAAGGTGTGAAGAATGAAGTTGTTATTTTCTCTAATGATGAAAGTGAAGAAGATGAGCTTTTTGACATAACTTCCTAAACAAGTAGGTGCATTCCTTCTAGATTAGTTTTTGAAGTGGTGGATAAAGCATTTTGGCAATCAATCATTATGGTTGGAATTGAAGGAGTTTTAATACATAAGAGGTGTACTTAACTCTATTTTGTCACTAGAAACTTTTTTTTTTTTTGGCAAAATTAAGAACTAAATGCGAGAAGGGTGAGATAGAAAGCTTCAATTTGGATTGGATGTGATTTTGGAGCTAAAGAGAAAATGTCTCTATGAGTTTATTCATGGAATCTTATTCGTTGGTCAAGTGATTTCGAACAATTAATGCCCTTTCATCTTTAAGATATCCACCCTTGGTCCTGTTTTTAGTGTGGACCTTGTAAAATGAATGGATATGGATGGAGACGGAGATTTGACTAATTCCTAAATCTCTTTTGACCACATAGAATGAGTTTTAAGCTAGTCAACAATGGAAGCCCATGTTTATGATCAGAAGTAAGTGGTTTTTTTATTTATTAAGGATTCCATATTGACCTATGTTATAACCATTCTTTCTATAGGTTGCAATGCAACTTGACTATAGCTATAACCAAATTCAAGGTTTAGGATTTCCAAGATCAAATTATTTTTTGGATATATATATCTAAAATTGTTGAACAACCAACTGGGAAGAAACTCAACTTCTGTGGTTTCATAGCAGATGCTATTAGTGCTAATTAGTTGGATATACGATAAGTATTTGGAGGTGATAAAAGTTACAAGGTAGAGAGAAGAGTTATGAGTTTCATTGAACAAAGAATATCAACAAACATTGCTAATGTGTCAAGTCTAATGTTTATCACGAGTTTAAACAACTTTGTCAAAAATGGATAGATGCACCAATTACAAAGGAGCATGAGGCAAAGGCAAATGAGATGCATATATAGTGGCATGAAAGGAACAAAGTACCAATTGAATGCGTTCCATAAATGGAATGTTAGCTTGCATGGTGGGAAGTTCAAATGTTTTAGTAGAGCCATTATATTCTCCATATAAGTTTTCTCTCATTTTCTTTTCTTGTCATATTCAAATGTTGTATTTCCTAAGATCAACTACTTGATGACATTGCACTTACACCAACAATTAATATCTTTGAGAGCAAACATTAGAGTTGGAGAGCTTCTGAAGTAGGGAAAGGAAAAATATCCCTATATAAAGTTATGCTCTCCAACCTAATTTTTGGGTATGGGCATCAACAAGAATGTGAGAGATACATTGAATACAGGTAGGTAGTGTTAAAGAATTGCTATAGCAAAAGAAAAGTTTGTCATAACTAGAGCAAATCAATGTCAAGAAAGTTAAGATGTGATCAAGTAGGTAACTTTTCTAATAGTACATGGAATGATCTATGAAGTGTGTAATGGGTAGCATTGGTGGTGAGATGAATAGTCTATCTCTTGAATTCAAGGCAAATAGGTTCTTCAACCATGGCAACAACAACATTGATTATCATATTATACGAGGGTATTGGTGCCTCTTGTGAGTGCCACTATCAGCCCACAGGCAAATGTATAAAGTGAATAAAGTGTAGAGGAATCTTGTCTTTAGTGCCAAGTTTTATGACAATTGTTCTATACAAAAATTGATTGAAGGTATACTAGTGGTAATATTGTTTCTCAATCATGGGAAAGAAGTCTTGATCATTCAATCCCAGAAGTGCTAAGAAAAAATGGATGATTATAGTACACAAGAGGATTTCTATGTCAAGCTCTTAGCAACAAATCCTATTTTAATTTACACATGAATTGATGGAGTTCTTTGGCATTAATGCTATATCTTCGAAAGTTGTGTGCATATGTGGCTATGGATGGCCAATGGGTGGTGCTTATATAGGGATGCATCCGATAGCCAAGATATACAATCTAGTGGATGACCTCTACTATTGTTGATATTATCCTACATTTGTCATCAATGACAATAAAATGGTTATGAAAGATGGTGATTGCTTCTTCAGATCAACACTTGTTTTATCAGCTCAAGATTTGTCTTGGAAAGAGATGAATATAATTTTATTGCAACTACTTTGTACACTATAAACAATTCTACAACCCCAACATGTATGGACTGTTGAGGCAATAACATGTGGACATTGGCTCAATGTGGTGAACACTTCTCTAGCAGATAAATACAAGCTAATGCTTTGCTGAACAAACTGCCAAAAGAACATCTGGGTAATCTCAAGAAATTGCAAAGCTATGTTAGTGATTCAAGATGATAGTACTGACACCAAAGTGATAGATGTTTACAATCTTGATTTGCCATTGGTGAATACCATTGAATACCAATGTTCATCTCCTTCGAGGTTAATATAATTACAGATTATATATTAAAAAATCATGGTACAAAAAGGTTCAACTTCTTCTTACAATCAGGTATGCTTTGCCATACCTTCACTTTCAAAACTTATAACATACCACCTATTAAATTTTATGCTTATATATATATATATATATGTTTCTTAACTTTTCAAATATAAAGAAACAATGAAAGCGCCAAATATGGAACTTTTCAAAAGTACTAAACAACTGAAATGTACATGACACTCCCAGCTTCACTTATGAGATTTCTCTTTTTTCATATTATCAAAAAAATTATATACAAATTTATAAGACTATTAATACAATGATTGAACACATTGAGTTTTCAATTGGCTCAGATATAGTCTAAGATTTATGTAATATCATAAATATTCTAACATTTTTTTCTTACATTGCAATAATACATGACAAAAATAATAAGGTATAAATATCATTGAGACAAAATTAGAACAAGAACCATCTAAAGAAATGCCATTCATCGTCTAACTTTAATTATATTAAATCTATCTATATACCATTTATGAATTTTCTAGTATATTTATTTTTTAGAAAAAAAAAATTATATATCATCAATACCCCAGTATAGAGTAAAACCTTACCATTCTTTTAGCATTATAAAATTTCAGCCTTTATAATATTGTAATAAAGACTTAATTTTAAATAAAAATATATAGAGAGATAAGAACCTATTTGACATTAGCATTCTCTCTATATAAAAACACATACAAAAATAATGCTAATGATATATAATAGAATACTTCTAATTTTAAATATTACTCTCAAAATGTAAGAATATAAGTATTAGAAAAAAGGGAATATCAAAGATAAATATGTAAAATTTTAAAAGTGTTTTAAAAAATATAACACATTAAGGTAATTTCTTTCACTCAGTATCATACAATTCCATAACTTTTAGTTTAAAGAGATGAAAAACAAAACTCTATAAAAATGGTTATATTTTTTAAATTTACAAGATGTATATAGTTTAAGTGAGTTTTAAATATTTATTTTTAAAATCATTATATTTTAGTGTATTTAAGAAACACATTTTTTATTAAGATGAAAAATTGTAGATCAATTATATAGAGACTTCAAATAAAACAAATTAGTTACCAAGTCTCAATATCTAAATAACTCATTTGGCCATGGGATCCCACAGTGAGCAATTTCATTTATAGAAGATCACTCAGCACTTAGAGTTTGAAATGTTATATTATGTTATGTGTTAAATTTATTATATTATTTATTATGTTATATTTGTAAAAGGGATTTTTAATATAAATAATATATTATGGTATGTTAACTATGTATGTTATAATTATTATTATGTTAAAAATTACAATTATGATTTCAAATTTTTGAAATTACTAAAATATCAAGAATAAACAAGAAGCGTAGCTGGGAGTTTTGCTAGTATTTGTTAATGTATTAAGAATATTCGCTGGACTCTTAAATCAATATTCTTTAAACGGCGACAGCTGTTTTAACAGAATCTTCTTTAGTCCTGTCATTTAGGGTACATCATTTCTGGAGTGAAACACGGGGTTGGGGTCGCTCTGTGGAGCTCTGGCCGGGAAGGCCCGAGGCCGCTGCACTCGCACATCTCCTCAAGGTACGCTGGTTTCTTACTAGTGAAATTTAGACATGATAGCCGGGACAACGATGACAACACTCGTCTTAAGATTCGAGAGAGAACGGTATGTGCTCTAGGGAATAAACGAGTGGAGTGAAAATTGCGTGCCAAGACAAGGATGAAACAACGCTCGCTTTGGCAAGGGTCTTAAGATTCAGTGTGATTCAGAACTAAACGAGATTTTCGCACTGCTCACAACAGAGCAACTCTCACAACTCAAACAACGCTGTCAGGCCCGAGCCGCTGCACTGCTCGCTCACACATCTCTTCACCCTTGCAAGTTCAAAATTGGGGGAGCCAATATAACGATGAAACAACGCTCGGTTTCCAGACCTTAAGATTGAAGTCAGTTTGATTAAGAACAGTCTTAAAAGGAGAATTTCGCACCGTGCTCAACGTAGACAAGAATGATACGAGTTGTGATTGCTGAACAGGCGCAATGGTCACTGGACAACGCAAAACAAATAAAGTGTAGTTCAACTTTCTACAAGGTACTGTTCACAACGATAACAAGGATGCAAGCGTCATGAAAACAACGGTCCAAGACGATAGGAAGACGAGGATGAGTACAGGACAGAAATGTTTGTCGACCAACGATCCAAGACACTAAAACTCGACGATCACTGGACAACGCTGTTATCATGAAAACAACGGTCCAAGACACAAACTAGACATGAAGGTGAGAACGAGAAGCTCCATCTTACCAGGTTCGAGTTCTCTTCGGTTTTCCCTAACTTGTTTTCCTTGTGTCGCAACCCCATCAACGAGCAACGTTTGTGCTGTTCGCAAGATCGAGGACGAGAAGCTTTTACCAGGTTCGTGTTTTCAAAGAAATATGATCAATTGGAAAAAATAATATTTTACATTTTCGCCTTGTCCTCTTCTTGCTGTTCTCCTCGTTGCTCTTTAGAAATCCAAGTAGAAGTAGCACGTCCCAGAAGCGCCACCCCATCCTCCGCCACCGCCGCCACCATCGCCGCCACCGTCGTCCTCACCGCCACCGCCATCGTCAAGCTTGGGGACGAAAGCTTTCTTCGATTGCATTGGAGCCGTCTTGGAGACGACCAGCCGATTGGTTTTGGATTGTTTGCTGCTGGGCTTCACACGTTGGCCTCATCGCGCTGCAAGTGGTTGTCACTGCTAGAGCCGAGACATCTGACCAACATGAATTATCCGAAGTAGTAATCGCCGCTCCGACGTCGGGAGCTCGGATTTGCTGCGCGAGAAATGGGGATGCGAGCACGGCCGACATAGCTGCTGGCCCGCCCAATCGAGAAACGAGTGCCACAAATGTAGTGGAGCCGCTGGAAGAAATCATCGCCTCGCCGCGCGCCAAAGCGATTCCTTCCTCTCCTCTGCCTTCTTCGCTCACCAGGTTCGTGTTTTCTCCAGTTGTCTCTTAACTCTTTTTTCTTTTTTTACGAGGTTTTGCATAGCGGAGAATGCTCTCAGTGTTGTGGCGACCAAGATGGATTTCGGAGGATAGAAGAGAAAGCTCTGTAATGATTTTTTCTACACACTGGTTTATCGCAAAGATCTAGAAGGTAGAGCTAAAGTTGGCCCAAAGTTGTAGGAGTTTATGCCCACTGGCTCAAAATTATGCTCTTGTACGGAATAGCATACATGAGGGGGAGAGCGTCAGCGCGAAGGCGCCCATGTCCCTAGAGCGCGGCGAGCCCCAAGGTAAGCTTTTTTCTTCCTTGTAGCGCTCACCTAGGAGAGATGCTGTAGCTGCGCTAAGAAATTCCCGAGGTTTGTAAATCGTCGTCTCGCAGGCTCGAGACTTTTGGACCTAATGTGGGGAGCATTCGAGCGCTGTGTGCATTGCCACATTCGGCTATCAGGCAAGTAAGTAGCCCAATTTCTAGCTTGGAACACGAAACGTTGGATGGATTTTTTCCTTCTTCGTTTCTAGCTTTGTGCTAGAGAGGCTTAGATGTTTAATCTTGTGTGTGCGTTTTGTTTTTTCAGGAGAACCGAAGAATACTTTCAGTAGAAGGATAATAGTTTGGGCCTAGTCTGGAATTCCTGGCGCTTGTAGGTAAGGAGGCAAATTGCTAGCTTAGAATGCTGGCTGGATTTTTCCAAGAATCCTGCAGATCGATTTTTGTTTTTCTTCCACTTCTCTAAGATTAGTTTTTCTTCCTTTCCAGGGATTTTCTATTCAGGAAAATTAATTCCAGTAGGAGGATAATACTCCCGAAAGAACTCCTCGCTCACCAGGTAAACAAGCAATATCTGGCTTAGAAATCAGGCTAGTTTTTTTGGAAGAGCCTTGCCGTTTTTCTTCTTTCACTTCTTTGATTTTGTACAAGAGAGATCTCGGGAGAGGAACTGAATGGTTTGTTTCACCATATTTTTTTTCAGGTGGAATCAGGTGCTAGAAGATTATGATATTCTGGACCATATAAGTGCTCAAGGCCTAGGTAAGAACTATAGATTTTAAGGCTATGGGAGTATTTTTCCTTTTCCTTATTTTCTAGGCAGAAGGGAGAAGAGTTCTACATGCTGCCACAAAGGTACCGAATTTTTCTTTATGTTTTTTTTTCTCGTGGGTCAAACTTTTTTTTGAGCAGGATAAGAGGGTGTAAGAACGAGCTGCATAGGTGACAGAAGAATGGGAAGCGTGGAACAGCCATTGGAGTTAGCTCCCAGACCAATCCAGCACGTCTACTCTAAGAGGCAGAAGAAAAAGCCCACGGACGACACCGATCCAGCAAAGAAGAAGGAGCCCGATAACTCGCTCGCAAGCCAGGAAAATGGAGCTCCGGTGAAGCCGGATGTAAGCAGCGGCGGTGGAACGAGTGACAAAGCTGGAGAAAAGTCACAGGAAGAAAAGGAGAGAATCCGCGAGCCGATGGATCAGGAGAAGCTCCAAAATCAGCACAAGAGCGATGGAGAGAGCGAGGAGCACAGGAACTCGAAGATGAGCCGGCTTCTAGAAGTGGCTACGAGCGAGTTCCACAGCGAGGAGCTGCTCAGGGAGGGTGGCGAAGCTACCGCCAACGGCGGGCTCAAGGGATACCAGCGGCGGCGCAAGCGTCAGATCGTCCAAGATGGTGTCACTCCGGCGGAGAGCTCGCCGAGGAAAACGCTCGACCGGAAAAGATCGCGGGATAACTCGGACCTGGTGTCGAGCGATCGTGTCTCGAATGGAGCAGCTAGAGATGGGGATAGCGATGGAGTCAAAGAGATCGAAGCCGAGGGTGGCGAAGAAGAAGACGAGTATAATGGCGAAGAGGAAGAAGAGGAGGACGATGACGAGGAAGGGGATGAGGAGGAAGAAGAGAAGCGAGCTCCGAAACGCCGAGGACGAGCTCGAAAGGCGCCGTCTCCAAAGAGGGAGACGATCAAACCACCAAAGCGGCGTCCTGGAAGGCCGAGGAAGGTGAGGCCGCCGCCATCGCCAGACAACACCACCGCCACCACCACCACCAGGAACCAGAAGATCAATGCGAGCAGCAAAGAGGCTCTCCCGCAGAGCTCCGAGGATGGCCAGGACGAGAACTTGAGCGATGGCGAGCGCCTCAAGCGCGCTCGCGGCTTCAAGCGCGTCTACCGCTGGCTCCACGATCTGGAGCTCCTCAAGTACGCCGAGTGCTTCGAGAAGCACGAGGTGGAGGACGATGTTCTTCCGCTGCTAACCTTCGATGATCTTCGCGAGATGGGGGTGAGCGCCGTGGGCGCGCGCAGGAAGATGTTTACGTCGATCCAGGACATGGAGCTTCCCCGGAGGAAGTCGCGCTAGAGGAAGACGAAGAAGATTACCATAACCAGCTCTTTAACTAAACTAAAAGAACTTGACGTTGCCGGGGATCGAACCCGTGACTTCTTCTTTTTGGGGGGTTGGGAATCGAACGGGGGATCGATCTTTTGGGCCTTATAGGTAAGGAGTTTCATTTTTTTGCGTGACGATTTTTCTAGGTCGGTTTTTTAGAGCGTCCAAGCGACGGCGACGGAGATCGTGGTTTCTCCCCGCGCGAGCAATCGCGAGATCTTGACGCCGCCGTGATCGCCAGCGCGCAGGTATGCATCGCAGCGGCGGGAATTCGTGAAATCCGGGCGCCGCGATGGGGTGTGATTACTACGATGTGCTCAAGGTGGGCAAGAGCGCGTCCGAGGACGATCTCAAGAAGGCCTACCGGAAGCTGGCGATGAAATGGCACCCCGACAAGAATCCCAAGAACAAGAAGGAGGCCGAGGCGAAATTCAAGCAGATTTCCGAGGCCTATGAGGTGAGCGCCAGAGATTTCTCACAGATTTCTAGCCTAGGGTATGGAAATCTTTGATTCCTCCTCTCCTTTGTAGGTGCTGAGCGATTCCCAGAAGCGCGCAATCTATGATCAGTATGGCGAGGAGGGGCTCAAGGGACAGGTGCCTCCTCCCGGCGCTGGCGGCGGCGGCGGCGCCACCGGATTCTCCAACGGGACCGAGCACGTCTTTCGATTCAATCCCAGGAACGCCGAGGACATCTTCGCCGAGTTTTTCGGGAACTCCAGCCCGTTTGCCGGGATGGGGATGGGGAGGTCGGGGCGCTCGGGCTTTGCCGACTCCATGTTTGGCGAGAGCATCTTCCGATCGTTTGGCGATGGTGGGGGACCCTCTTCGGGTCCTAGGAAGGCCGCCGCGGTAGAGAACAAGCTTACGTGCTCTCTCGACGAGCTCTACAATGGATCCACGCGGAAGATGAAGATATCAAGGAACATTGCCGACGCTTCCGGGTAAAGAGCTCTTGAAAACTTCTCTCTTTTTTCCTACGACTCATTCGCTTGCTCAGTAAGACGGTGCCCATCGAGGAGATCCTCACGATCGACGTCAAGCCCGGGTGGAAGAAGGGGACCAAGATCACTTTCCCTGAGAAAGGCAACGAGCAGCCAAACGTTGTCCCGGCGGACCTTGTGTTCGTGATCGATGAGCGTCCGCACGAGGTTTTCAAGCGAGATGGCAACGATCTGATAATGGTCCACAAGGTGCCGCTGGCCGACGCTCTCACCGGCACGACGGTGTCCATCCGGACTCTAGACGGCAGGATGCTCAACATTCCAGTAGCGGACATAGTTTACCCGGGATACGAGAAGGTAGTTCGTGGCGAGGGGATGCCGATTGCGAAGGAGCCGGGCAGGAAGGGGAATCTCAGAGTAAAGTTCGACATCAAGTTTCCGAGCAAGTTGAATCAAGAGCAGAAGACTCACTTGCGGAAGGCGCTGGGATGATAGTGGTTTTGGATTCTAGTTTTCCAGGGGTGGCAGCAGTACGGGGATGGCTTTTAGTAGGGCTGGGCGGTGGCGGCGAGATGCTCGTAGAGCTGGCAAGCAGCGCAGGGATGGAAGTTTTGGTCGGGGTTTATATTTGTTTTTTGGTTTGGGGGGATTCCTGGACTGGTCTGGGCAGTGGGCTTTCTGGCTGGACATCGCAGTCCGGAAAGCAACGTTGGCTGGCTAGTGCTGAAAGGTGGCGCAGTGGGATTATTTTTCGCGAAGGAGTTTCAGTACTCTGGGTGGCAGGAAGGCCTATGTTTGTACAGGCACCGGGGGGAAAAGCAGGTAAGAACTCGACTACTCTGGAAGGCAAAAGGATAGAAAGCAGGGAAGAACTTGACGACAAAAGTGTAGTATATTCACAGTTCAAGCCACGAAGAAAGATCACCAGAAGTTGAAAGCTTCCAACGAAGAAAAGAAGAAACGCAGGACGAGATCACCAGAAATTGAAAACTTTTCCCTGGAAGGCAAGGATCTGGGAGGAAAAGAAGGCACCCAGCAGGACGCCGAGGGCGACGAGCACAGCGATGAAGTTGCCTTCTCGGACGATGCTCTTGAGGGTGCCGAAGACGATCTCCCTGGCGAGCTGGTTGCCGTCTTGGATGAGGAGCTGCCGCCTGGCCAGGCCTCTGCTGCAAGCGTAGTCGAAGAGGAGCGCGGTGGTCCAGGTGAGGATCATCGCCGGGATGAGGAGGATGAAGAGCGCGAAGATTGTGAGGAGGCCGATCTCGACCCCCAGGAAGCACGAGAGCTGGAGTGGCGACCAGTCCCGGGAGGTCCGAGCGAAGGGCTGGAGCTCCAGGACGATGTGGAACTTGAGGATGAGCAAGGCTGCCCAGAGGAGAGCTATGGTGATCGCGATGGAGCTGCCAAGCTTTGTGAGCCGGATGTCCGTCGTCCCAGTCGCGTCAGTACTGTAAAACCCTTATTGTTCTTCGCGATCAAGTTATTTTTTTCTCACCGGCTTGATCGCAAGTCCAGAAGGATTGGAGGATTTTCTTCCTCTTCACGAGCGCCGGGATCGTCCATGGGAGAAAATGTGCCGCACGACAGGGCAGAGGAAGAGCCCTAAAATTTGCGTGTGTGTCTTCGTCTACTTGGTTCTCTCGTGTCGCTCATTCGCTAGTTTGCTCGTGGCGCTCGTACAGGATCTCGGCCGTTGGCTTCCAGCCGTTGATTTTGAAAAAGATTCAAGAGATATTCCTTCTTGGATAAACCCTAAAAACAGAACATGGCGATGGTGCTCAAGCTCTCTCCCGCGTCGAGTGTCGGTCCGATTGGATCGCGCATCTCGCTGCATTGCTCTTCTTCTTCCTCTCTTCCCGGCGCGATTTTCTTGCGCAGGAGGAGATCGATTGTTTCTGCCAGCTCGTCGGCGGCGTCTGCGAATTCGTCGCGATCTTCGTCTCCGGCGCCCAGTCTCAGTGATTTGGTGTGGCCATCGGCAGGTATTGCGATCCTGGGCGGTCGTTCTCGATCGGTGAATTCTTTCTTGCTTGAAATATTTCCATGGATGTTGCGCAGGCGCGTTTGCGTCCATGGCCGCGATGAGCGTCCTGGACAAGCATCTCCAGCAAAAGGGGCTCTCCTTCCTCATCGCTCCTTTTGGCGCCGTGTGCTGCGTGCTCTTTGCCACTCCCAATGCTCCGGCAGCTCAAGTAAGCGATCAATCTATTCTTTCTTTCCTCCATCGAATGATCGCTCCTTCCATTTTTCCATTCTCTGCTGGGCAGTGCCTCTTGGACGCTCCAAGAGCCGGCTCCTTGTCTCTTGGCACATAGATTGGGCTTCTAAATATTTTTGTTTGGGTTTTTCTTCTTCGCAGAGATATAACGTGTTGATGGCACATATGGGCTGTTCTTTGATCGGCGTGTTGGCTCTAGCGGCATTTGGCCCTGGATGGATGGCCAGAAGCGTTGCTCTCTCGGCTTCCATCGTGTTTATGGAGATCACGAAGTGTCTCCATCCTCCAGGTGAGTTGATAGCTCTTTTTCATCTTCCATTTTCCTGCCTGGCTACTGTTAAGCATTGCTTTTGCAGCTGCTGGACTGCCACTGCTCTTCATCGATGGACCCAAGTTCCATCACCTACAGTGGTGGTACATCCTATTCCCGAGCACATTGGGCTGCCTTTTGCTAATTGTCATGGTAAGCTTATAGTAAGTTTCATTTTGGGTTGATCAGTGTTACGTTTTTGCAGCAAGAAGCTGTCAAGTTTCTCAAAGACAACGCAAAATTTTAATCCCATTCAGTGGCATCCACAAATAACTGCTCGAATGCAATAGAAGACAACAACAGACTGGAGCGCTTGCTCACAGCCGGGTGCCAAACCAGTGTTTATACACCAATCTCTTCCGCCCCCACGTCCACCAGATTGGCCGCGCAACCACGCGGGGATGCTTCTCACGCTTTGGCCGCTTGGATGCTACAACCATCCACGAAGTCAAAGTTGTGCACGTTAACACCGTCAGTGGCACTCGAGAAAACAGGACGTACGTAAGAAACAAGCAGCTATACAGGACCGGAAGCAGCTACCTCTCTGAAAGCGTTGGAAGTATCAATTCGTTTGTTCCGCCAAAAGGGAAACAACTTATCAATCGCAGGCCTCTCCGGATGGAAATTACAGGCAGGAAAAGTTTCACTCGGGACGCAGCAGTGAAGCACTGTGGGAGTCAGCTAGCGGCATTCACTCTCCCTGGATTTGAGAACGAAGCAGCATACATGCTCCTCGCCCGGTTCAAAAGGAGTGGAATGGAGGCTATCTAGACGGGCAAGCTTTTCCAACGAAGCAGGTCATCCAACTTCGGCAGCAGGTAGAAGAGGCTCTGCCCAAAAAGTAGAGCCGGATGAGCGCAAGAAGAACAAAAAATGGAAGACAGAAAAAAGAGAGGCAAAAACAAACTGGCAGGAGCAAGAATTCGGAGTAAAACAAGGAAATAAAAAGAAAAGCTTGGCTCACCTTTCAAGTGCCCATTGATGTGCTGTGAAGTGAACTTCATAAAGGCTGGAAGGCACAAAGCTGACCAATACCGCGACTGTACAGCGTAAACCTCGAGCACTGTAGCCCATCCCGCTTCACTTGGCAGGAGCTCTTCGTCGTCTAAGCTTTCCGGGGCCTCTCCGCACAGAACCTGCGAGATCACGTCCTTTCGGTCACAGACATTTTAGAAATCACAAGAAGCTCACTCTCAATACTGCCGTCGCAGAGGCAGAGATCGATCTCAAGTTGTATCTACAAACGGTAGCGTTAACAACCATTGTATACTTTTTGCATGAGAAAAACCATACCCGCCTTCCAAAACTACCAGGAGCTTTCCCCCAGAAACTGTACTTAACAACTGCGTCATCTGTGCAAAACCGGCAGGGGTCACCTGAAACAAGGAGTGAGTGATAAAAACATCTTTGCAGCAGTCGCTCATGTACCTGGCAGCCTCCCAGAGGATCTCCCCGTGCGGCGTCAAAGCCCGCCGACACAATCGTAATATCCGGTGCAAACTGCTTTGCTAAAATCCAACTGTAGTCAGGAAACTTTGACAGTAGGAACATTCGAACATACCTATAGGAAGTACGATATGTTGGAAGGCAACAATGTAGTCATTGTCGCCAATTCCAGAACATGGCCATGGTATGTTTATCGAAAATCCTTCTCCAGGACCCGACCCGACCTGTTGAGTAAAGAGACGTAAAGTCAAGAAAGACGGAAGTAAATGGAGAAAATATACATACCTCATGAGCGGCTCCACTTCCCGGATAAAACAAGCCTCCTTCATGCCTATGTAGTGAAATGTACAGCACCTGCAACAAATCACCGCGAATTAGACTGAGTTTTCAAAGACACACAAAGAGGCACGTACGGATGGATCGTGCTCGAAAATCTCTTGCGTTCCATTACCATGATGAACATCCTGCAAGTCGCGTTGTAAGAGGTTTGGCATAAAGAAGGTAGCGGTGACAGGAACGCACCCAATCAACTATCAAAACTTTCTTGGCACCAGCGGCCTGAGATGCTTTGGCAGCTATGCATGCGTTATTATGCAAGCAAAACCCCATCACGGTCGCTCCTTCGGCATGATGTCCCGGCGGTCTTACCTGCCGGAAAATATTGGACAAATTATCAGAAACCAATCTCTGGTTTAGAATAACCACCACTCACCAAGGCAAAACCATTGTCGACTTGGCCACTCAAAATCGCTGATGCTAAATCAGCACAGACACCAGCAGCTAGCCTCGCTGCTAACGCCGAATGACCGTTAGCGTAAGTGTCCGATGTAAAGTAACTGAGAAAGCGTGAGATGTTTGCAATCATCCTTGTCATTCAGTGGACCAAATGAGAAACAAAGAAAAAGCAGTGTACCTAGATTCTAAACTCGACGTTGCCTCAACAACCTCGACGTGCTCGTGTGTGTGAACCTGCCGAGCTCAACACAAAAAACATAAAGAAAAAAATGAGCGATCGAGAACAAAAAATTTCGAAGCATTAGTACTCACTGTCTCCAGTTCAACTCGAGTGATCTCTCTTGCAGGTATCAGAATGCACCCCCCTGGATACAATCCTACATTCCAAATACAAGGCATTAACTGGTGACCTTTAGCAATCTTAACGCCTGAGGAGGATGCACACCAGCTGCTGTAAAGCCCGCCAGGATCGACCGTAGACGGTCTGGCCTTTCTGGATGAGGATTGGACTTCATTTGAAACTGTGGCAAACAGACCACCTGAGGTAAAGAACACCAACAATGTGATTGGGTCTCATACCTCTGCGTGTAGCAGCATTCGATCATCATATCCAATCGCAGTTCTTCTCACGGATAAGCGCTTGAGGGCCTTGACATCTAGACAACAGATGCTTGTCATGTCCAAAGTAAAACAGCGAAGAATCACACCTTTGGCAAGCTCCTCAGTGCCAGCTTGAGTAAATGCTGGCGCCAAGTGTCCTTGATTCAAAATTCCGGAGTAGCGATGCTCCGAACAAAGCTGGGAATGTCGGAAAGAAAGAAGAAAAGAAGCTAAGCACAGCGAGACAATGAAGCCCTTAGACGCACCTTGCAATGCGTGCTCTCTTCCACATTGGGCATTGTGCAATTTACACAAAACCATCGGACCCGGAGCTCCAGCGTCGACCCGGGCTCCCAATCCTCGTCCTCCTCCTCGTCCGCCTCATCCCACTCGCCATAGACGAGCTCCTCCAGCAGCTGCTCCTTGGCGCTCCCACCAATCCTCCCATCCGACGCTGCGAATTCCAATCCCGCCCGCGCCTCATCGCCGTCCCGCCCGCTGCTCTCGCAGCTCGCGCTCCACCTCGCCCCATCCAGTGGCGTCGTTGGATTTGGCGCCACCGCCATTTTTTTCCTACCTAAAGAGAGCGCGCGCTAAAATGCGCTCTCCTTCCCCTATACTACCACAATATGAAACCCTAATGGTTCCCCGTGGCCACATTTATACAATGACACAGGGTGGTCCTAAACAAGGTGGCCAAGTGGCCCAAACGATTCCTAAGAATATGCTTAACCACGATTCTTACGAATATACTTAATGCGGCTAATATGCTTCGTCGTCTAGTCTTCGTCTTGCTCGCAGCCTCAGGGGAGTTCTAGGGCCGGCGATGATTCCATCGCCCTCGATGAGATCCACCGCACCGGCGCTACTCCAGTCGAATCCGTGCACGAGGGCGCCGACGATGTGCTGGAGCTTGATCATCGCGAGCGCGTGGGCCGGGCATCGCCTCCGGCCCGACGAGAATGGGAGGAGCTCGAAGTGGCTGCCATGGACGCCAATCTCCGTGCCGAGGAATCTGTCCGGATCGAATCGCGACGCGTCGCTCCACAGCCGATCGTCCCGCCCCAGCGCCCAGAGATTGACGAAGATGGTGGATTTCGCGGGGATGGCGTAGCCGCCCAGGGAGGATTCCTCCTCGTTGAGGTGGGGGTCGTCCAGCGGCGCCGAGGGATGGAGGCGGAGAACTTCCTTGGCGATGGCTTGGAGATAGGGGAGCGATGGAATGGCCGACTCGTCCATGAGCCGTGATCTTCCCACGACGCTGTCAAGCTCCTGCTGGGCTCGCGACAGGGTGTGGGGATTTGAGGCCAGCTCCGCCATCGCCCACTCGACCGCCGCGGCGGTCGTGCCGATCCCCGGGAGCAAGGCGTCCTATAACATCAAAGCATGTTAGAGAGAGAATAAGAACATTCAAGAAGCCTACGCTGAGAATTCCCATGATTTGCTTGTCCGAGAGCTGGTTTTGCAGTAGCACGTCGATCACGTCCTTGCCTTTTTCATCCTGGATCATCACAGTGTTCTTCCTGTGCTCCTGGATGATCATCGTGAAGAGAGGCTCGAGCTTGCTCATCAGTCTCTTGAATCTCCCCTCGAGCCCCTGGAGATCGAAAATGCCCAGCGCTGGAAAGTAGTCTGCCAGATTGAGTTCTCCCCACAGGAAGTTCCCCTCTGCCAGATACTTCTCGAATTCTCGCTCGAGCTCGCGGGTGATCCTCTCGGCATCTGGGTTGTCAATGTTCTTCCCGAGATAGTGATCGCCAAAGAGCATTCGCATGATGATCCTTCCCACAACTCCCTCCGCGATCTTCCTCACATCGACGCTCGCCCAATCTCTCCCGTGGCCGGTGATTCCTAGCAGGGAGTCCACCGTCTTGAGGACCTCTTCTCGGCGAAGCCATGCCTGGGAGCTCAATCGCGACGGCGCCATGAGCTCGTTGCTGAAAGCCTTGCGCACCACTCTCCAGTTCTCGTTGAGCGGGCAGAGATTGGGATCGCTGTGCTCGAATCCGATGTATTTCCCGGTCATGGACAGCGGCCTGGACGAGAATTGCGCGTCCTTGAATCGGAGAACCTCCATAGCCAGATCTTTGCCGTGGACGAGGAAGATTTTGGAGGAGCCAATTGGCATGGTGACAATGGGGCCGAATTTCTTGGAGAGCTCCAAGAATCCGCGGTGCCTCTGATGGAAGGGGAAGGAGGGCAAGCAGCCGATCAATGGCCATTGGAACGGACCTGGAGGGAGCGCTGCTCGATCTCGCGATTTTCTTGCGCGTAACACGAACAGTAGAAACCCCAAGATGATCGCCGCGAAAGCAAGATGCCCTTCCATCGCTGCCAGTCGCAATCCCTAGCGCTAGACTGGACTATCGAAGTATCGCATTCGTGTCGTGATGCTCTTGACTCCAGAGTTTAGGGTTCATGGGTTTGAATGGCTAGTCATGCCGCGCATTCCGTGCTCAATCGATCGATCGATCGATGGGCGCCAAATCCCTCCTCGCCAAGAGATCGATCCAACAGCAGCAGCGGGAAGGTTGGGATCAAGAAGAGCCTGCGCCGCGAGATCCCGACGCCGCAAGAATGGGCGGAGATGAAGCGGCTGCTGGAGCAGATGGAGGCCCGGGAGATCCAGGCAGAAATTTCGGCTTGCGCGGCGATTCTCACGGCTTGTAGCGATCTGCGAGCTCTTCCCGAGGGTAAGCGCGTTCACGGGCTCGTCATGAGGGAATCGCTCCTCCAAGACGAGAGGCCTGACGAATCGCTGCTGGAAAACATCGTCATCCAGATGTATCTGCGGTGTGGCTGCACGGATCTGGCGCTCGATGTCTTCGATAGGATGAAGGACCAGAACGTTGTGGCATGGACTTCTCTCATCTCGGCATTTACCTTTGCCGGGCATTTTGGCGATGCGATGGTCTTGTTCCGCAAGATGCTTCTCTCGGGGGTCTCGCCGGACAGGATCACTTTCACATCGATTGTCAACACCGCTGGGGCTCTAGGATCTCTCGGAAATGCCAGGTTTGTGCACGAATGCATTGTAGAGGCTGGATTTGGATCTCACACCGTGGTTGGCACTGCAGTTCTTGGGATGTATAGCAAATGCCGGAGCCTGGAGCTCGCGAGAGCGGCCTTCGAGTCAATCGTAGCTCACGACCGGATCTCATACACCGCGATGATCACTGCTTACTCGGAGAACTCGTCCAGCGAAGCCTTGGTGCTCTTCCACAAGATGGTGCTCGAGGGCGTCACTCTGTGCGATATAACTTTGGCCTCGGCGCTCAACGCCTGTGGAGATCCGGCGATGCTACGCCACGGCAAAGTGATTCACGGGATGGCTGGCGAGAAAGGACTCGAGTCGGACATGGTGGTCGGGACTGCGTTGGTAAACATGTACAGCAAATGCGGAGAGATCCAGCAGGCGAAGGTGGTGTTCGACCGGATGATCCAGCGAGACGTGGTTTTATGGACCGCCATGATCGGGGGCTATGCCGAGAACGGGCAGCCGAGGCTGGCGTTCGATCTTTTTCGGCAGATGCAGCAGCAAAGCTCTGTGAGGCCGAACAGGGTCACGTATCTCACGCTCGCCAACGCGTGCTCGGAGAAGGCAGCGCTTCCAGACGCGAGATTTCTCCACGCGAAGATCAGCTCCGAGAAGATCGACGACCCCGTCACTGGCAGCGCGGTTGTCTCCATGTACGGGAGGTGTGGGAGCGTCGGCGACGCGAGACAAGCTTTCGAGCAGCTCAAGAACAAGTGCGCGGTGGCCTGGAACTCGATCATCGCGGTGCACACCCAGATCGGCGACGCCGATGAATCGCTGGAGCTGCTGGGCCGGATGCTGCTGGATGGATCCAAGCCGGACAGGGTGACTTTCATCAGCGTTCTCTCGATGTGTAGCCACGCCGGGATGGTGAAGCAAGGGTGCGAGATCTTTACGTCGATCCGGGATGATCACAGGCTTGAGCCGGCGATGGAGCACTACAGCTGCGTCACGGATATGCTGGGACGAGCAGGGTGGCTGGAGGAGGCCGAGAACTTTGTGAAGAAGATGGGCTTGGAGCCCGACGATGGGATCTGGGCGTGCTTGCTTGGAGCGTGTAGAATGTATGGCGATGTCGAGAGGAGCGAGAGGATCGCAAGGAAAGTTTTGGAGCTCCAGCCTCATAACAGCGAGGCTTATGTTGTGCTGTGTAATAGCCTAAAAGATTCGTTGAATATGCCTTAATATTGTAGGGTTTTTTGAAAGCACAGAGGACGTATAACATGACACGTTTATCCCTTACGTCGCAAAGCTGCAGGAGAACGTGTTGATTGTGGCGATGAAGGTGGTTGCAGGGACAGCGGCAAGATCACCAGCACCTCATGTTTGTCACATACGATCCCAAATGATCTTAAACATGTAATAATAATTTGAATTGTAAAAAGAGATTTTGTCAATGCAAGCGCCAACCCAAAAGGGTTCTGCACGGGAACGCTGAAGGCATGGCGAGCATGATTTCTTCGCCGAGGGCTTTCGATGGGGAAGAGGTGGTGCAAGACAGGCTCACCATCAAGACGCAGAGCTGCTGGGTGACGACTACACCGAGTTTAATGATCATTAGCGGGACTACCTCAGAAATATCCCCTCTCTCACAGGAACTGCCCATGCCGCGGGTACGCTCTTCTTCTTTACATGTTTTGTTACAGTTGTGAGTTTTGTGGGTGTGAGTTTTGCAGCTTGATCTTGTTCGAGCGATCAGAAGTATGGCTACAGCGAGGAGTCAAATCCTTGTTTCGACTTCGATTTCAAGAAGGTCGAGGCGCCTTTTGACACTGAGAGTCTGGTACCTGTATATTTGTCGCAGCTTCAAATTTGGTGCTACTTCTGGGGTCTTGGAAGCGAGAGTTGTGGCCGGACCGATCACGATCACAGTTCCAAAATTTGATTCACGTGTTGTTACTCTGTTTTTAACAGAACTTTTCTCAGCCACGTCATTGTAGGTTAAGGTAGGAATGTGGAAGACATGCTTCGCTGGCTGGCCAGGACTTTCCAACGGGGAGCCAGGTCAACGAAGAGCCCACCGTTGACTAGAATATTCTTAGAGTATTTTGTTATACCAAAGAATATCCTCTCAAAGTTTTTTAATGAACAGTAGTTCATTATAATAATTAAATTTAGGAGCTAACTCTATTAATTATCAGTTTATTTCTCACTCAATTAAAATCTATTTTTCTAATAATATAAAATCCTTTTTTTCTGCCCAGATAAATGTATGGGACAAACTCGAAAACTTATCAAATCTGAAATAATGCGAAGAATTCAAAACAATCTCTACACTCCATAAATATAAATAATTGAAAGATTTGAACACCTTTTACAAATAATTAATAAAATACGTGTGTGTCATTAACATAACGAGACAAAAAAGATCACAGGCTTCAGCCAGCAATGGAGTGGCTGGAGGAGGCCGAGAATATTGTGAAGAAGATGGGCTTGGAGCGCGACGATGCTTGGAGCTTGTAGAATGGCGATGTCGAGAGGAGCGAGAGGATTTTGGAGCTTATAGCTTGAAAGATTCGTTGAATATGCCTTACTACTATTTTCTCCTTAGGGTTTTTGAAAGCTCCGGCGAGGCGAGGCGATCGAATGGTGCCTGCCCGGGCGCCGATGCTCCTAGATGTTTGCTGCAGTAGAATGGCGGCGATCCTCAGCGAAGGTGAGACTGGTGTGGATTATTCGCGGCGAGAGAGGACATTTGATTTGATCGATCTATCAGATTTTAGCGCGCAGGCGCAGGCGCTGGATTTGCCTCTCGACTTGCTGTGCAAGATTTTGCTGGAGCTGCCTCCCCTGGCGCTGCATTATTTGGAGCAATGTGCCTCAGGGTAATGATTCTATCGGCAGTTCTTTGATTTTTTTTTCTTTGTTCACAGACAGTACGAGGAAGTCTTCTCGCTGGCATGGAAAAGTTTGGCTGAATGCCATCACAATACTTTACTCAAGCACGGTACCTGGAAGGATGCTTACTGGGAAGCTCACGTCCAAGCGTAAGGAAAAATGACTTGTTTGGTCTCTCCTGTTTACTCATCGCTTTGTATTTAGCTGCCTCAATGCTGTAACGACTGAGCTCTCTGCTCCAAATTTCGATGGCCAGATAGGAGATCTTCTTGTACCAGGTATCAGTTTCTGGTGTCAAGCATTTTTATGTTTGTGGATTAGTTTTGAGTTGCCTGTAGAAATTCAGAGGCTTTGGTATACAGGATTGGTGCGAGGAATGCTGCCTGCTGCGAGGAGAGCGATTTCACGTCCTTGAAAAACACGATACCTTTACTTTCGAGATATGTGAAGTAAGTTTTTTTCCGCTCACAAGAGTTCATTCTTGTTTAACATTGACTTTTGAAAGGTCCTTACGCTTACGGAGCGTTCTATGTTCCAGCGAACTAGTGGTAAAAATCTCTTGTTTGTTTTCAACTTTATTGATGTTTCTCTGCTTGACAGAGTCTATTTGATTCAGCCGAACTAGCGAGCCTTTCTTTCTTGAACATCAAAACATCTACACAGGTTTGTGTCTTCAGGAAAGAAAATGCTCTAATTTTTTTCCTTCGGGCAGTTCGGTCTTATAGTTAAACTTCTAGCTCGTAACGTCAGAGCTCTTCGACGGCTTGAGTTTCATTACTGCAAGTTTTTTGAACAAGATTTCAACACTTTACTGGGCATGCTAAAATCAGCTGATGTTTTGAGTGATTTCGCCATCACTTGCTCAAGCATTCAGGTTCCGTCGGCGTCGTTGGAAATGCAACAGTTTCTAAGAAGTTGCAGGCAAGCTTATTACCTCTTTCTTTACTTAGTGATCATGGGAAAATGTTGTCTTACAGGTCTCTAGCATGCGTGCATCTCGTCAGCAATAGAATGCACACGCAATTTACAAGCTCTATCGTAGTCGAGCTGTTCTCCCTCTCTTCGCTTGGTACCCTTGATTTTGCAGACAATCTGGTAATAGCTTCTTTGATTAGAATGTTTTCTTCTCTAACGTCTTTCTGGCAGCTAGAAAGCTGTTTTGAATCTCCCACAGTCAACCAGTTTTTTATCAACTGTGCGGTTAAGCAACTCCCATTCACACCTGGACTTAAGGTTCTCAACCTGAAGTAAGAAAAAGAGTTTCAAAGGTGCATGATAGGTTCTAACCGCTTTACTTCATACAGATCTTGTTTCTTGAGTTCTGCGTGTGTTCAGAACCTTGTTCATTACTTGAAATGTCTACCACACCTGCACACTTTAAACTTGAGCGACAATCCAGTGGCCGATGAGGGTATCAAGTAAGCTATTCAAGTATTTTGTATGTTCTCTTGCACATTTATATCTTTTCGATACAGGTCTGTTGCTTGCTGCTTACAGACAAGCCTCTCTGCACTTATGGAACTGAACGTCGCTGGCTGTGAATTAAGCTGGAACGGGCTATCTTCACTTTTGGATTCCTTGGTTTCAACCAATCACAGGTTGCGTTCCTTGTCCGTTGCAGATAACAGTTTTGGTAGGAGTGGCTCTGCGGTTCTTGCAAAATATCTTCAGAAAAGCGCCGTGAAAGAGCTTGATATTTCTGAGATTGGACTTGGTTCCCTGGGCTGCTCTTCGGAGCTAGCATCAGCTTTAATTCAGAACCAGACACTGGAACATCTGAACATAAGGTGGGATTTCCTAAACGAAACCATTATGTTATTAACCTTTGCGGTTTTGATCTCAGCAAAAACAGGATTGCTTTTCCTGGAGCAGAATTATTACATGCAGTCATCTCCAAAGGTCAGGGTGTACTTACAGACATCAATGCGAGCTTCAATCTTCTCAACGTTGAGGCTATGAAGCGTCTTGCTTCTGCGCTGCAGACGAAGGCCGCCCTTGGTGGTACTTTTGACATCATTTTTTTTATGGATCCATCTCACATTCTTCGGGCTGCAGGGAGGATGAAGCGACTAGACTTGCTAGGAAATCCCGGAATCCCGCCTCCAGGCGCCAACTTGTTTGGCTCGTTCTCTGAAGGACCTGACGCCATTGTGCTTCTTTCGAGCTCCCAGTTTTATGTTCCACTGCACGACGATGATCCTTGAATTCTGCATATGGACACGCTGGTTTTAGCATCTTGGCCGACAAGGCTCAAAGGTAATGACGCCCGACAAAGCAGAGCAGCGGCTACCAGGATTGCTAGCTCGGAAATCGAGGCAACTATAAACAACAAATTGGGATGGGTGGAAAATCTAGCAGAGGCAGTAAATCAGCTATACAGCGGCGCTACAGTAATAGATCCCGGGGTTTACGTGGAGCTCTTGAAATGGTCCGGCAGGGAACGGAATTTAGACGAAGGAAAGCGTGTTCACTCCCACATCATGCAAACTGGATACGAAGGGGATCGTATGGTGATGAACTTGGTGGTGGAGATGTACGGGAAGTGTGGGGATGTGGAGCAAGCGGGAAACGTCTTCGATAGTATACAGGATCCCAACGTGTTTTCGTGGACCATCATCATCGCTGCGTATGCCCAGAATGGTCATTGCATGGAGGTCTTGAGGCTTCTTTCGAGGATGAACCAGGCGGGTGTCAAACCAGATGGTTATACGTTTACAACTGTTCTGGGAGCATGCACGGCCGTTGGGGCACTCGAAGAGGCCAAGATTCTTCATGCAGCTACGATCTCGAGCACCGGCCTGGACAGGGACGCTGCAGTCGGCACTGCTCTCATAAATCTCTATGGGAAGTGTGGAGCACTCGAGGAGGCTTTTGGAGTTTTCGTCCAGATCGATAACAAGGATATCGTCAGCTGGAGCTCCATGATAGCAGCATTCGCTCAGAGCGGGCAAGCCAAGTCCGCGATCCAGCTCTTGATGCTCATGGACTTGGAAGGTGTCCGTCCCAACAACGTCACCTTTGTCAATGTCCTGGAGGCTGTCACGAGCTTGAAAGCCTTCCAATATGGCAAAGAGATCCACGCCCGTATCGTCCAAGCCGGTTACAGTGACGACGTCTGCCTCACAAGTGCGCTGGTGAAGATGTACTGCAACTGGGGCTGGGTCGAGACTGCAAGGTCCATCTTTGAGAGCTCCCGTGAAAGAGACGTTGTTTCCTGGAGCTCGATGATAGCAGGCTACTCTCAGAACGAGTCGCCCGCAAGAGCACTGTCACTGTTCCGCGAGATGGAGGTTGACGGTGTCCAGCCAAACTCTGTCACTTTTGTGAGCGCCATCGATGCCTGTGCCGGGGTTGGAGCTCTCCGACGAGGAACGCAGCTCCACGAGCGGGTCCGGTGTCTGGGCCTGGACAAAGACGTCCCCGTTGCGACCGCTCTCGTCAACTTGTATGGGAAGTGCGGCAGGCTGGAAGAGGCCGAGGCCGTGTTTCTGGGGATGAAGAAGAAGAACTTGCTCACTTGGACGTCGATAGCAATGGCCTATGGTCAGAACGGGCATGGAAGCCGGTCACTCAAGCTCTTGCACGGGATGGAGCTTCAAGGCATGAAACCCGACGGGATAGTGTTTGTGGCCATCCTTGTCTCGTGTAACTACGCCGGGCAGATGAGCAAGGGACTCCACTACTACAATCTGATGACCCAAGACTTCGGCATTGCTCCAGCAGTGGAGCACTGCGGCTGCATGGTTGATATCCTGGGACGAGCGGGGAAGCTGGAGGCGGCGGAGCAGCTGATAAACACTATGAAGTTCGAGTCAAGCCTGGCGTGGATGATGCTTCTCACCGCTTGCAAGGCGCACAACGATACCGCTCGAGCCGCCCGTGCCGCAGAGAAGATCTTCCAGCTGGAGCCCAAGAACGCGACGCCTTACGTCCTTCTCTCGAGCGTCTTCTGCGCCGCTGGGAGCTGGGAGGCCGCTGAGGAGACGAGGAGGAGGATGGATGGCCGGGGGGTGCAAAGGCTGCTGGGAAGGAGCTCGATCGAGATCGGGGACAGGGTGCACGAGTTCGTAGCGGCCAGCGATGTGCTGCCTCACCACTTGGTCGGGGAGATCTTCGCGGCCTTGGAGAAGCTAGGCAGGGAGATGCAAGGCGCTGGCTACGTCCCGGATGCTACTGCGGTGCGCTTGCGGGATGTGGAGGAGGGTGGCAAGGAGAACGCGGTGCCATACCATAGCGAGATGCTGGCGCTGGGACTGGGGATCATCTCCACGCCCGCTGGAACGCCGCTCCGGATCACCAAGAACTTGAGGATGTGCTCCGACTGCCATATCGCCACCAAGTTTGTGTCCAAGCTCGTCCACCGGCGTATCAGCGTGAGAGATGGAAGGCGCCACCACCACTTTGAGAATGGAGTTTGCTCGTGCGGGGATTACTGGTAGAATGGCAAGAATCTCGGCTGTGGAGATTAACGTTTATGTATGGCCTGATGCGTTGACCTTATTTAACTTTACATTGACTTTCTTGGCTTTGTATTTGACGTCATTTGAGCTAAATGGGCGACGTGGCGTATAACACGTGGCATTTTAGTGACGGGGCAAGTACGTGGCTGTCACGTCACTACCATTCAAATTGCAGATAATGGAACATTTGGAGCTAGGGCTCTTTCTTGCTCGATGACGGCCCCGGCGCTGGCGGCATCTCAATGGCGCTGTTTCGCGTGTGGATCTAAGCTCGGCGCGGCCAATGCGGAGTTTGTATCGGTAAGGTGTCGGCATGAGTGTATGAAAATCTTCGTCATCGGGTTCCTCTTCCCAGCCGCAATTCCTGAGGCTCTCGGCGGCGCCAAGGAGGCCGTGGATTTCTATCAAGAAGAGCTGCGGGCGTGGGGGATTGGCGATTCGTGCGGCCGTTTTTGATCAGCTCTCGACGAGCTTGGAGAAAGTATGGACAAAGCTCCAAGGAGAAGGTGATATGATAGAGGAAAACGAGCTCTTCCTTATGCTGACACTGTGTGTTCGTCTTATAGAAACGCTAACCAGCGAGAATATGAAAGAGCCATTGCAGGATATCCGTCGAGCCCTGCTCGAAGCAGATGTAAGTAGCTCAAGGAAACTTTAGACATTCTTGCTTCTTTCTTTTGCTAGGTGAGCTTGCCAGTGGTTCGAAAACTCGTGGGCTCTATCGCGGAGAAAGCTGTCGGCACAGGCGTTATACGTGGAGTGAGGCCGGACCAGCAGCTTGTCAAGGTATGTGGCTCACTTTGATTCCAATTAGTTTTCCTACTTGAAGAAGTTCCAGGATGCAGGTTGTGTATGACGAGCTCATATCTCTCATGGGTGGCCAAGCGGCACACATTGAGTTTTCTGGAACGCCTCCCACCGTGATTCTTATGGCTGGGCTTCAAGGTGTGGGAAAAACCACCGCTTGCGGGAAACTGGCGCTTTACATGAAGAAAAAGGTACTACGCAATGTCTGCGTCTGGTTTGTAGATAAGATTTTTTCTTCAGGGAAAGAGCTGCATGCTTGTGGCTACAGACATTTACAGGCCTGCTGCAATTGAGCAACTGATTACTCTAGGAAAACAGGTGATTATTCTATAGTAGTCTGAAATGGAAGTCTTACTTCTGTGGGAACAGGTTGAGGTTCCTGTGTTCGAGGCAGGGACTGAGCTAAGTCCTGTAGAGATTGCGAAAAGAGGTCTGAAAGAAGCAAAGGAGAAAGGAACAGACGTTCTTATTGTGGATACTGCTGGACGCCTTCAGGTATTGTCTGTTTTTCAAAATCTCGTGTCTCACAGTTTACATCGTCTGCCAGGTTGATGCCACAATGATGGACGAACTAAAGCAAATGAAAAAAGTCCTTAATCCAAACGAGGTGCTACTGGTTGTCGATGCCATGACGGGCCAGGAGGCTGCTGGTGAGTATCTTCAGTTCAGTAAGCTCATGCAAATCCTGAGTTATTTCTTGCCGTTTTCCAGCTCTGGTATCTGCTTTCAATTTGGAAGTGGGAATCACTGGAGCTATAATGACAAAGGTCGATGGGGATTCGAGGGGTGGAGCCGCGTTAAGCGTGCAAGAGGTAAGCTTAACGTTTATAAACAAGTGAGCTATCTGGTTGATAACTTGCATTGGTAACCAGGTTTCTGGAAAGCCCATCAAATTCGTTGGAGAAGGTGAGGGTATGAACGCTCTGGAGCTCTTTTATCCCGATCGTATGGCTAGTCGAATTCTGGGCATGGGAGATGTACTGTCGTTTGTAGAGAAGGCCCAAGAATCGGTACGAGAGATCAGTTTTACAGTGATTTTTTCTAACGGTTTTTTGTTTTGATCAGATGATGAAAGAAGATGCCGAAGATATGCAAAAGAAGATTATGGAAGCCAAATACGATTTCAATGACTACTTGAAACAGCTGAATGCACTAGCCCGTATGGGATCAATGGGGGGAGTTTTGAAACTCATACCTGGGATGAACAAGGTGGACACCATTACTATTTCTCACCATTTTCTGCTGTCTAACGTTTGGGTTAAACAGGTCACTCCTCAGCAAATCCGTGAAGCTGAAAGGAGCTTGAGTATAGCAGAAGCAATGATAAACGCCATGACTCCTGGTAAGACCATGCCTGCTGTTCTCTCGTTCTCAGTCATTGTTTCTGCAGAGGAAAGAGAAGATCCAGAGCTTCTTGCCAAGTCGCCCGTTAGAAGAAAAAGAGTTGCCACGGAATCTGGTAGAACGGAAGCACAGGTAAACTGCAAATCTAGTTTTCGAAGCAGATATCTGTACAGTGTCGCGATTTTTGCAGGTTGGCCAGCTTATATCTCAACTATACCAAATGCGTGCTCAAATGAAGAACTTGGCAGCAAGAATGCAGGACGGAAAGATGCCAGGACTGGAAGACCTCGAGGAGCTAAGCAAAGGAGCGAAGGTAAGGTCATGGCATCCATATCTTTATTATGAGCTCTAACACACGGCTTGGATTGTAGCTTCCACCCGGCACAGCAAGAAGGAAGAAAGGCAAATCCGAGCTCCAGAAGCAATTGTCTGCCATTGGAAACAAGCAGTCGGCTCCCAAGGGATTTGGATCGAAAAACTAGTCAACACTCAACTAGGACAAAGTAAGAACTGGAAGCATCACTTTGTAGAGTCTTATCACTATTAACCAGAATTACTTTGTGTGATGGAGGTATAGCTCAGTGGTAGAGCAATCGGCTGCAGTCCGATAGGTCACTAGTTCGATCCTGGTTGCCTCCTGGAGTGAAAAGATTTTTTTCGCGGGATGGCCATGGAGCTTGGCGTGCTTCTAGTGGGCGATGAAGAGATTTTGAGGTAATTCGTCTCTAGATTTTGGGTGTCACACCTCTATTGCAGATTGTGCAGGCATTGGCATTCGAGGATGAACTTGTTCGTTCTTGATGGAATGGAATTGGACGAAGACGGTAGCTCACAAACTCACTCCCAAGGTAGAAAAAACCAATAACGTCAAGATTGCTTCCTCATTTTCTTTTCAGGAAACATTCCATCTAAGCTGGAAGAGGAGCAACAACAATGACGATGCAGCCCAGAATCCAGCACAGAAACACCAACTCAAGCTCCAGGGAGAATTCCATCGCTGCCTACGAAGAACTCAAGCAGCGGGGTGTGAGACCGAGCATCGGGGTGGTGCTGGAAGCTCTCAAGCAATGCAAGAACAGCAGGGACATAGAAACCGGCAGAAGAATCCACAGGGACGCCCTCGTCACCGGGGACTACTCCAACATCTTCGTGAGGAACGTCTTGAGCGACATGTATTGCAAGTGTGGGAGCCTGCCGGATGCTCGTCAAGTCTTTGAGAGCATGGAGTACCGCGACGTGGTGTCCTGGAACTCCATCATCCTTGGCTACGCCCAAGCCGGAGACTCCAGCACCGCTCTAAAGCTCTTCTCGCGGATGCAGAACGAGGCCACTTGCAAGCCAAACTCGGTCACGCTTCTCGCCGCTCTGAAGGCCTGCTCGAAGCTGGCGGAGCGAGCACAGCACGAATGCTTAGACAAAGTGAGATCGATCCACTCGGTCGCTCTCCATCGGATCGAGAGAAAAAAAGAGGAGAGCGAGCTGGAGCTCTTTCTCGCCAGCAACTTGGTCCATATGTATGCTAGATGCGGCAGTATGGTGGAAGCTCGCGGCGTGTTTGACAGCATGAAGAGACACGACGTGGTTTCCTGGACAGCGATCATCCTGGGATACGCTCACGCCGGCAACGCAAAGTTGGCTCTGGAGTTTTTCGAGCTCATGCAAGCTCGGGGCTTTCTCCCGGATCGTGTCACGGTTCTCGCTGCACTCAAGGCCTGCGCTGTTCTAGCTGAGAAGGAGGAAGCCAGGCTGCTGGGTGGAAGATTTATCAAGCTCGAGTGCCTGGAACGGGGACGAGCTCTCCACTCGCAGATCACTCGAGCTCATGGAATGGATTGGAAAGACACGGTCTTGGCGACTGCGCTGGTGGATATGTACGCCAAGTGTGGCAGCCTGGTGGAAGCTCGAGAAGTCTTCGATGGAATGAAGCAGCACGACGTGGTTTCGTGGACTGCGATGATATCCGGCTACGCTCAAGGTGGCGATGGCGAGCTGGCTCTCGAGTTCTTCTCCCGGATGAAGGAGCACGGCTGCGTTCCAGATGCCGTCACCTTTGTGGCTGCGCTGCAAGCCTGTGGAAGCCTGGCGGCGCTGGAGAGTGGAAGAGAGATCGAGGCTCAAGTCAGGGGTGCTGGACTGGGAACCAATCTCGTCGTCGCGAATGCGCTGGTCGATTTCTACGGGAAGTGTGGCTGCATGGAGGACGCTCGGGAGGTGTTTGAGCTAATCCCGCGAAAGGATCTGGTATCGTGGAGCTCTCTCGTGACGGGATACAGCAGCCAGGGCGACACAAGAAGCGTTTTTGAGCTCCTCGAGAGGATGGAGAGGGAGGAGAGACACTTGCAGCCGGACGAGATCATGCTCCTGTCGATCCTCACGGCTTGCAACCACGCGGGTCTCGTCGAGCAAGGCAAGAGATACTTCTCGTCTCTACGATCGCCGACTGTTCAGCACTACACCTGCATGATCGATCTCCTCGGACGAGCGAACCATCTCGACAGTGCTGTGGCGTTGCTGCGATCCATGCCCTTTCCTCCCAACGAAGTCACCTGGACAACACTGCTGAGCTCCGCTCGAAAGTGGAAGAACGTCGGAGTTGGACGCATGGCCTTCGAGGCCCTCGTGAAGCTGGACGATACAAACTCCTCAGCCTACATTCTCATGTCGAGCATCTACGCAAGCGTCGGCAACTGGGACGAGGCCGCCAGAGTCCGAGCTTTGAGGATCAAAGCCGGGGCCTGGAAGAGGGAGCCCGGATTGAGCTCCTGGACTGACAGCTCCACTGGAAGAGTACACAAGTTCTCGGCCGGGGACGCCAAGCACCATCCACAGGGCGAAGAGATCCACTTCAAGCTCGATCATCTCTTGTCCAGGATGAAGCTCCAGGCCGGTTATGTTCCCCGCCTCTCGAGTGTTCTAGCAAACGTGCCCGACGAGGAGAAGGAGTGGGCTCTTTGCGGGCACAGCGAGAAGCTGGCCATAGCCTGTGCCCTCGTCAACTCGGCTCCAGGGACGGCCATTCGCATTGTCAAGAACCTGCGGGTGTGTGATGACTGTCATGAGGCTACTGCTTTGATCTCCAGGCTCGAGGGGAGGACCATCGTTTGCAGGGATGCTGTTCGTTTCCACAGGTTCGTGGATGGAAGTTGCTCGTGTGGAGGCTTCTGGTGATATTGAATCTTATGTGTGTTCATGTGTTTTCCTTGTTTTTAGAATACACTTGCTATTATCTTTGAACAAAATCCTTAAGAAGGAGAATATATTACTAAAACTCGATAGTCCAATTAATTAAATCTTGTTCGAGGATGACTCTCATGGTTTCTCGGTCCTGGTAGAAAGAAAAACCAAACAACCTTCGTAAATTGACGAACCGAGAGAGATGCCGTCAAGGTGAGCCTCAGTACTGCATCAATGTAGTCTTCGCTGCTCATAACGAAAGAGAAATAGCTCGTCTTGCGCCTGTGTTCATTCTTTGGGCAGCTGCTAGCTTGTGCACTTTTTCAGCTTCAAATACCCCAGAGTCAATCAGATCCACCACTTGTGGAACTTCGGCGTCGTCTGCTTCATTCGAGACTGTCCCGAGCCACCACTGACCTCTCTTTTGAGGACCGAGTAGCTTCTTTCAGGGTATCGAACGCAGTTGTATGTCCTCGACTTTTAGCTAGTAACAAAGCTATTAAAATGCAAGTAAAGCGAATGTGATATACACCTTTTGAAGCCATTTCCTCATCCTTGGATGACGAGCATTGTTTTTAACTTCGAAAAATCCCCTCGAGCATAAAGTCCACCTACAGGAGTTCCGTGCGTGTGTACAAACAAAAATAAAATTAAAAAAACGTTTTGACAATTGCTTACTCGTTTCGGCATTTCTCCATTGGCACCCACGGTCGTGGAACGCTTAAATCCGACGTGCGTTCTTGAACAGCAAGAACGAACTCTTTCATCGATGGGCATCTATTTCCTGGAATCGTTTGCAGAGGAGGTGCAAAAGTATACCAGCTCGCTGTTTCATTCAAGAACAAATGTGTTAAACCGAAAAAGAAAGACCACAAGCGCACCTTGTAATCAATCCCAAGCTGTAGAGCGAAGAATCAAGAGGCGTAAGGTTGCGAACAGCTAGACCATCCTTTTCATATTGTCTCTGCAGAAAAACGTACACTTAAGAACCGAAAAATCAGCGCGTCGTCCCATTTGAAAAACGCCTCCAGGAGTTTCACCTCAAAGCCCCGCCATAAAATTAGCACCGAAATCCATCCCGACGAGACAAGCGATGCCAGAGATGCTCGCTGCAAAGACGGCTTCGTAAATTATCCATGAAACTATAATATGTGAGGACAGAGAGCAGCGTGAGAGAAGCATTACTGTGCTCACTGCTCGTTACCACGGGGACCACTGGAGCAAGACTTCAAGACATGATCAGTGATCGTCTCGGTCATGAAGCTCCTGCTATAAAATCACCCCTCGTAGAAACAACAGGGCTTTCAAGTGCGTTTTACCTGCAAGAACTCGGCAATCTCCTATGTTAGTTGAAGCAAGGAACTAAGCAAAGAGAGCGAGAAGAAAAACGGCCTCTCCCATGAGAACGTACCTTTGATTCTTCTTTTGACGCGAACTTCATCCTCGGAAGGATCTCGCTTTCGCTGGTGAGGAGGAACGTATTTAGCACTTGAGGTTTGCTCCGGCTCACCCTCCAATTCAACTAGATTGCTCACCGGACTCGCGCCATCGGAATCCTCATCCTTGCCCCTAGAGTTCCACGAGCATCAAGCTAGAGCACATAGATCCTGCATGATAAATAGAGGAAGCTTACCAAGCCATTTGGAAGGCATGGAAAATCACCCCATGGGAAATCCACATAGCCTTGACATCGACTGAGGAAGATAGATCTCGCCTGTTTTCTGCCATGCAGTCGAGCGTTACTTTGGAAACACTAGGCAGATTCCGCAATCGTAATAGGATCGCTCGACGAAACAGATTTTAAAAGCGATTGCTACCTGGTAAACGTAGCCTCGAGTGATGGCTCCTTCCCTGTCAAGGAAAACACCATCGCGAAGCGAAGGAATGAAGCTGCAGCCAAAAAATAAAATAAAATAAAATAACAAATAAATCAAAGCAAAACAACTTTGTATCAAAGCTTAGCTTACGAACCCTGCGAGATAAGTTTTGAGTATTTCCTCTCTTGCACTGGCCTCCCCTCGTTTAGAAGAAAAAACTTGGAGAGAAAAAATATAGAAAAACAGAAAACCATATATTAACTAATTATAGCATCTACTTTCACTCCAAGTTTCTCCCGGAGAAACTTGTTCTCCTTCTCCAGGATTTTCTTCTCGCTCTCCAGTGTCTGTTGCGCACACTCTTTAGAACAACAAAGAATAATATGACTAGACAAACCTTGAGCTTCTTCCTAATTTCAGCATCATCAAGGACGCGCTGCTTCTTCTCTTCCTCGAGCTCTCGCTTGTATTTGTTGCACTCCTCTAGCAGCCCACTCTGTACAAAAGCTAACTCCATTTCAAGCCGATGAACCTGTAACAATGCAAATCAGAGAGGGAAAGGGAGAGAGGGACGGAGAGTACCGTTTCTTCCAGCTCCTGTGTTCGAGCAACCCCTACTTCTAGCTGTGCATTTCCGGCTTCCTCCAGCCTCTCCATTCTGAACGGGAGACTGAAAGTGAGTTTTGAAGGCAATAAAATAAAATAAAATAAAATAAAAACAAAAATTCACAAACCGGGTAGCTAAAACGTTCGTCTCTTCCTCTAGCTCCCTCAGCTGATGATCCGTTGGTTCGACCTGTTCCTCAGCTTCAAAGTCATCGAGTATCAGAGAATCCTTTGCTGTCGCTACTGGTACTACAGCTACGGCAGATTCCTTAGATTTGGATGGGACATGGGGAACTGGCTTTGGTTTTGATGGGATTGTTTCCTTTGGCTTCGCAAACTGCATATTACTAAGTTAATGCTGCTCATGAGATTTGCACCACATACCCGGCTTCCAACGTCCACTTCATCGACAGCATTTGGATCCCTGAAGGCCTTCTTTGCCTGTATCTTGGCCTTTCGAGGAAAAGCTTCTTTCACTGGCCTCTCATCTTCATCGTCTGAAACTTCCGAGGATGATGATGAGCATCTTCTAGAACTCCTGATGGCTTTGTCTAAAACGAAGAAACATCATTCTGGTGCTGAAGGTAAAAAGTCCTACCTTGGAGACGATCAGCTCTCCGTGGTCGATATAAAATCTCGTCCTCATGCATCGTCTTCCTTTTCTTGGTAGCAGAACCAGTAGCAGGAGGTCCCTGATATCCCACCTTCTGGCAGTTGTTATTCCTGCATAGAAAACCATTAAGAAGAACAAACGGCAACAAGGGGAGTGCTAACCAGAATTTCTTCTGCATAAGTTGCAGCCGATGCTCAAGTCGTTGAAGAACGGGTGTCCTTTCAAATCCTTGTTTGTCATGAGCAGGTTCCACAAAATTTGCCTCCAAAACTCCTAAACCACCAGAAAAAAATGTAAGAGACCAAAATAAAAACTGCAAAACTCACCAATGACACCTCGTCCTTGACTGCTCGACGAATTCCATATTCTCCAGAATGGCTGTTACAGATCGAATGAGAAAAGAAGCTTGCGAGCCATTGGCTACCTTTATAAGCCGATTTTTGTGATAGACATTGAATCCTTGCACATCTATGTGCTCACGGGCATCCTTTAGAAAACCGAGGTGTACTTTTGCAGACATCTGCACCCAAAAGACGCATGATCTCAAAGGGAAACAAAAAGAAAAGAGATGCCCACGTTTACCCCGTTTTGTCCATCCTTTTGAGGCTTGTAAACAAGCTCCTCAATGTGCATTACGTCGCTCAGGATATTATGGTGTTTGATCTCCTGGTTTCGAAGGGTGATCTTGAAGTTCTTTGGCAGATGCAAGTACAAAATCGAAGCATATATCTGCAGAACCAAATGGATGAATTTATGACAGCAAAACACATGTTCTTTCTCACCCTGAGAGAATTTTGGTACAAAAAGAAGTGCTTCGCACTGGGATATTTTTCCGCCATATCACGTTGAGAATCATCACGGCCGCCCCTGATTTGAATGTCCTTGAAGGAGGTCAGTGAAGCAAACCAAAAACAATTTCAAAGCATACTTGAGGATCTGATTCAAAGTCTAGTTCCAGCCGCTGCTGCTCATCCTCCCAGAGATTGTAGATAATGATTCTAGTACCTTGGCCCTTAATTTTCTTGAACTAGCATCACAGAGAGACACATAACTTAAGATTGGATGTAGATCCAGAGTGCTTACTTGGCTGCGAATCGATTCTTCAGACTGATAAGGACTCCATTTCGTGATCGCGTCCATGCGATATTTCCAATCCTGATGTGTGCCTCGTTGGACCTCTTTCAGCTCACCCCCGTGCTCTTCGTAATCCAGCTGCAATCAAGAACAAGGTGAATTCACACCCCAGAGAATTTCTCTATTAAGAGTACCGTAGGAACTATGATGTCCTGCTGCATTGTGTCACGCAGGAAACTGTAGGAGAGGAACCCGACACTCCGTGTAGGCCTGTATCAAACGTAAAGAAGAATGGGAAATGGGAAATACTTTGGCAACCAACTCTTATACCTGCCGCCTCTCTTTGCATTCGATTTCGAAAAAACGATGACATCAGCACCCAGGCGCATGGTACTCGTCTTAAAACCGTTTCCATCTGAATAGATTTCCAAACTGAGATGGAGAAAGAGAAAACGAAATAGAGCACATACATTGTCCAATCATGTTAGCGGCTTTATCCTTCGCAGAGTACCCAAAGGACATGCATTCTCGCAAACGCTCCTGGGTCATTCCTCCGCCGTTATCTGGATCAACAAACAAAGCGTTGCTGCAAGAAGAAAACACAGCTAGAAAACATCTTGCGAACCTTCAAAGAGAAGCATTGGCGAGCCATCAACCGGATTCTTGAGAACGTTGATGTTGACAAACGTCGCTCCATTTTGAGCCTCATCGAGCGCATTGTCCAGCAGCTCCGCTATGGCTGCGAACCGAGCAAGAGATCACAGATTAAAACACAAAGAAGAAAACTAGCAAGACTTTTCTAAGTACCGCCGAGAGCCCACTTGTGGCTTGTTGCATTGGAATGGAGGAACTTTGGATGCATGCGTACGTGATCCATGCTAGCTACACAGCAAAAGAGAAAGGATTGATCGCAAACAATCGAAACAATTACTACCTGGCATTGTTTGCGCGCCGGAACCGTCGTAATCTCCAGCCTTCCAAAACTGGCGACAGCGATTCGGCCGCGGGGCACTGACGACGGCGTCATCGTCCGGGGAGGCATCGTTCGCGTTGGGCAGAAAATCGAGAAAATCGGCGGGCATGTCCTCGATCTTCGGCTTCTTGCGCTGATCGTCGTCGCCTCCGATCCCGCCGGCTCCTCGTTTCCTCAAATCCGTGGCGATACCTGTGATCCGGCTGGGACCGGCGCCACCAGCATTGCGCTCTTCCTCCTCCTCCACCGCCATGCGATCGCCCGCAAACCCTATCGACGAGAATGGTTTTTATTCCATTTCGTGGTTTTAAGGGCTTATGGCCTTGCCGAGATTTTTCGTGCGGCATTTCACTCTGGGCGGACGTGGGCGTTTCGCGTTGCCACTGAACACTCGACCCATTGCTGGTATGTCGATGATCTTCTCATTCTTCCCTCGATCTCGAGTAATTCTCGAGCTTCTATAGAGGATTTTCAAAAGGGTCGCTCTACATGGCCTTGGGGGAGCTACAGCGTTGTTGGAGATCGCGTTCCAGTGGCTCCGATTGGTTTAAGCTGCGATCGGATCCTACATTGCGTATCGGAGAGCGACGAGGTTCTCTTTTTCTAATTCCTCGGCGCGTCTTGTTCTTAGTTTTTTTTGAGAATCTTTCGTCAATGTTCTTAGTTTTTTTTTGAGAATCTTTCGTCCAGGTATCAGTGGTCAGTGTCACAGCGACCAGTGTTGTCCGAGAAGCCCAGCGTCGCTTTTCCACTTCCCGAGCGGTACGATCAGAGCCAAATTGTTATTCTCATTCCTTCCGTAGTTTTCATCCTTTGTTCTTCTTGTTCCAGGCAACTGTGATTCTCGGACAAACTTTGATGGCAACACTTCTTCTCCACGCCATTGAAGCCGCTGCCGAGAATATAAAGGTGGCCATTTTGTTTGCTTGCTTAGCCTCTGTTTTCGTCTCCTTCTCATTCAAGTTCTAGATCACGATTGCTGGAAGCGGTGGACCACTTGGAGGAATCACAGCAATCGGCTCAAACACCGGGCTTGTCAAAGGCTATGTGGATTTCCCAAGGAGTGATTTTCCATGCCTTCCAAATGGCTTGGTAAGCTTCCTCTATTCGCAGTCTTGCTTATAATCGTCTCCTATAATCTATGTGCTCCAGCTTGATGCGCGTGGAACTCTTGGCGAGCGTGGCAACTTAACAGTCACGCTCCACAATTCTTCGTGGAAGAGACTTAAAGTGTATGCTTCGTTTTTGCTTGTTCTTCTTTCTAAGTTTTTTCCTTCTAAACCACAGCTTTTTGACACCGGGGTTATAGGAGGCCTGTGCAACTCTCTCGAGGAAATATATCAAAAGGAGTCGAGACTTATCTTGCAGAAGCTCGGAAGGTAGGCTTTCACGTCACGAAAACAACTTTGTTTTGCTTGTTCTCTTTTGATTTTGTTCTTGGCTGCAGCTTCATTCCTTTGCTTCGTTTGGTGTTTTCCTTGACAAGCAAGGAACCATCACTTGTGCTCGAGGCTACGTTTACCAGGTAGAGAACGCTCTTAAAAATTTAAAAGCGATTCCAAAACGTTTTACTTGAGTTCCAGGCTCTGCCCAGTGTTTCCAAAATGACGCTCGACCGGATGGCGAAAAACACGCGAGATCTTCCTAAGTGGAACATAAACGCTGACGAGATTTGCGAGCTCCTGTTCCAAGGAATTGGCCGTGGCGAGACCATCCGCACGGTGAGCGAAATCTTCTCAAGTGTTCCTCTCCTCGTAAAACTTCTTACGCCTTGCAGATAAATCCTAGATTCGGTCCTTGCGGCCTAGAGATGAAACAGCGCATACTGGAGAACGAGATCTCTAGCAAGGGATTCTGGCAGATTCGACAGGCACTCAAGTCAAAAGGTGGTTTGTTTCTTTCGTTGTTTCTCGAATCATGGCGTTTAATCTTTGTAGGCTACATTGAGGCATTTTGTGACGCTTGCGGTGAAGAATACCGATTTACAGAGGATGAATTGGGAGAGCTGATTGGTAAAAGCATCAGCGACAGTGAAGAAGAAGAGTGAATCATACAAAGTTCAGCTTGTCAATACGTTTTCTTCCAGATCTTTCTGTAAAGAATATGCTTTGGGAAAGAGCATCAAAGTCATAATCGAGTGGGAAAAAACCAGCGCTGAAAGCACCCAGGGCCTAACACTCCAGCGACGGAATACGAATAAAATTTTCCTTTTATAAACGTAAGAATCACACCAGTTAAGATTCTCAAAGCGCTCCAGCTTTTCCTTTGATCTCAAGCCATCGCTTTGCAATCAGCCTCCTAAAAGAAAGAAGAAAGATAAAAGAAAAAAAAAAACACTATAGCTTCGATTCGATGGACGACTCTCGATATCTCCATCACACGTCTTAAATGCCAACAGCTGGTTTCGAATCCGTGCTCGTCCAGAGAGCAACACAGCGATCACCTTTTGATCCTGTCCAAAGTTCCAAAGTCCAATCCCCAGATGTAAACAACTCGGAAGAAAAAGCCCCCCATCCCATCCCATCCATCCCATAGCCTCTTCGTCGTCTCGTCTCGTCTCGTCACCAATGTGTGTCGCTTTCCTGTGGCACCACTGCCGTGGAGTGAAAAAGTCGTCCAAGCTCTCTCGTCCCCGCTAAAGCTGTCGACGAGAAATCGCCTCTCCATAAACGCCGTGCCGCATTTTGTCGTGTGATTCACTTCAGCCTGAGCTAATCCTTCAGACTTTCTCCACTGATCGTAGAAAACAAGTCACTGCCCTGTAGCGTGCTCTCCTGCCTCCACTTGTACTCGTAGCAAATGGCTACCTGGCAGCAGCAGCAGCAGCAGCAGCATCATCCCTGGTCGCCCACGATATCCATTTGTTTTCTCCTCCCTATTAGCACCATCTATGTCGCCTGTTCCCGAGGCGTATAGCCAGCGCCGCCTTGATCCTGCTGTTGATAGCTTGGAACAATTCTTACTTAATCCCACAATCTGAGGAGGAGAGAGAGCGAGAGAAAAAGAACCCCTGCGCTGCGCCTGCCTGCGACTGCCTGTGCACTCTATCCCATAAGAAAACCTGTTCTGCTTCCCCTGTTATCTAGCTGCCTCCGGCCTATATATCTGGAGCACGGGAGTAACACGCGACGGATGATCCAAATCCGGATTCCAGGAGAACTTACTTCCTCCTCCCCGAAGTTTGAATGGACGTAGCTTATAAGTAGTGTTGGATCATATCTTATCATCACCAAAGAATATGAGAACCACAGCAGTTTTCCCAATCGAAGCTTGTTAAGTACCTTGGTTTGTTTGTTTCTTTCGTGTAGCTCGTCAGCACGCACGGCGCGTACCTCTCCAACCCGAAACTGTACACAGGATTTTCCCCTCCCCTCCCCTCCTCTCCTCTCCTTCTTTCGCTTTGGATCCTCGATCAGGTGAAGATGCGACGAAGTTGATTGCAGATCTTCTCCCTGAGCTGGCCAAGCGCTTTCGAAAGGCCGCACGGTATCCTTTGCCTCCGAAACCAGGAAGTGCGCTTCTTCTTCTTCGTGGCAATGGGAGGAGGAGGCGACGGCAAGCCCAAAGCAAAACTCGTCTCGCTCAGAGCCAAAACCTGTTGTGTGGAGGCCGCTGCGGAAGGACCAACCAGCTCAACGAAACAAGCGTTGCTGTTCCTTGTAAACGCCTTCTCGGTCGTAGCACAGCCCGCATTGTCTTCAGCACGGGTCACGCTGCATGAAGCGAGCTCGAGCAGCGCTGCGTCCTCTTTGTCACCTTCCGCCACCGGATCCAAGCTCACGATGCCCGTTTCGGAGTGTAACGCAGGCTCCTCGTCGGCCTGCTTGACTTCCACAAGCTCCAGATGTTGGCACTCCTCTTCAATTAGCCTGTCAGCTTCCCCGGGATTGTCTACGTCACAAAGGCTGGCGGCGGTGGCTTTCTCCAAACTGAAAGCACCGCCCTTGGAGGAGCACAAATCTTCCGGAGCCATCGCGATGCCGCCATCTTCGTGAGAGAAATCCGACTTTAAGCCTTCCTCCGCGATGTCACGCATGATATGGCTCTCGGACAGCCAAATCGTGTGGCCATGGATCTCTATTCCTTTCACCCAATCGCTCCATCTTCGACCCCCTCCGCCACCGCCGCCGAGCCGCATTGCCGGTCTTTGGGGCCGCCCCTGGCTTATAACAATGTACCTGTTCGCCGGCCTCTCGGGCGCCGCTACCACACTCCTGGAGCTCATGGACATCTTAAATTGGCGCTCCTCCCTTATCTTCTCGATCTGAGGCCCAATGCTGATGAGCGCGATCACGCACAGCGCCGTGGACATGAGCAGCGGCGTGAAGAAGAGGACGATGTGGAACAGGGGCGTGGTGAAGAGCAGGATGAGGAGCCCCGCGAGGATAGGGTGGCTCCACAGCAGCGACACGATCTCCAGCACCACGATAGCCATCTGCGAGCGAGCAAGAATGGAGCGTGAGTCCGCGCAAGTCTAGGCGTGGAATTTCGATCGATCGAGGGAAATTTACCAGATGACGCAAGAATTTCCGGCGCAAGGAAGAAGAACCGGCGCATCTGACGATCAAATCCGCCGCCGCTGCGCCGCCGTCGGGCAAATCGCCCTATCGCGCCTCCTTTCTTTGGAGCCGCGCTAGCGCCATAGCTCTCCCCTCTCTATGAAATGCGAGAGAAAAGAAAGAATAGAACTTGCAAGTATAACCCTTCCTCTCCACGTCTTCTCTGGCCGCAGCATTTACACTGGAGTCCTTGGCCCGGTGTCCTACATTGGGTGCATGGACGCATGGGGCATCATACCTATGGCGTTTGTGCGCCATCCATCGACCCAGTCGCATGTGCGCCGTATGAGGCGCCATGATGGCCATGATGGAGACCATGTATGGTAGCCACTCACCGGCTGATGCCGGTCGGTGGGGTGGGTGAAACCGGCATCAGACGCGTGACCCACGGTTAAAAAAAAAGCTACCTAGCAGGGGGACAGTTTCTGTAGCAGCCCTAAATTCGGGCATTTTCTCAAGAAAGAAAATGCCCTAAACCGGCATTTGCAGCAAATGCCGGTTTATCACCTATTTACCCTCAGGTCTTCCATGTGGCGGTTAAGCGCCAGGAGCCTCTCACGGACTTGTTTGGATTCCAGCTCTAGGGTTTCTTTGCTCACGGCATCCATCGCCCAGCTCTTCCCCAGGCGCCGCTCCTTCATGAGCTTGCGGACCTTGTCCAGCTCATCCAGCCGTCCGGCTGCCGCGTGGAGATTGGACAGGAGAATGTAGGGCCCCGATTCGTCGGGCTTGAGCTCGATCACCTTTAGGGCAGCCCTCGTCCCGCGCTCGGTGTCGCCATGGATCTTGCAAGCGCCCAGCAAGCTCCTCCAGATCACGGCGTCGGGCTCCACCGGCATGGCGGCGATCAGGCGCTCCGCCTCCTCCAGCTTCCCGGCCTTGCCGAAGATCTCCACCATGGCGCTGTAATGCGCGCGGCGGGGCTCGATTCCGTGCTGGGATCGCATCGACAGGAGGAAATCCCAGGCCTCATCCACCAGCCCGGCGTGGCTGCACGCTTGCAGCACCACGCAGAAGCTGATCCAGTCGGGCGGCATCGCGATCTTGGCGAAGAGATCCAGCGCCTCGGTCACACGGCCGTTTCCCGCGTAGGCCGCCAGGATCGTGTTCCAGGAGACGATGTTCTTGCTCGGCACAGCATCGAAGATCCTCCTCGCCTCCTCCACGCAGCCGCATTTGCCATACATGTTGATCAGAGGATTGGCGACCTGGAGCATCGCCTCGAATCCACAGGCTTTGATCCTGGCGTGCAAGATCCGGCCCTTGTCTAGAGATTGCCTCATCGCAAACGCGGCGAGGAGGCCGCTGTAGCTCATCTCGTCCGCCTCGATTCCTTCCTGGTCGAGGCGCCGGAAGATATCCAGCGCTTGCCGCGCTTGCCCTGTCCGGGCATACGCGGTGATCATCGCGTTCCAGGAAACGACGCTCTTCTCCTCGAGTCGATCGAAAAGTTCCCTGGCGCGGCGGAGGAAGCCGCATCGCGCGTACATGTTGAAGATCGCGGTGGCCGCGACGGTGTCGGCATCAAACCCCAGCGCCACGATCCGGGCGTGGATCGTCTGGCCCTGCGCGAGGAGCTCCAGGCGAGCGCACACGCCGAGAATCTCGACCAGGACGATGCGATCGGCTGGCTCGCCGTGAAGATCCATCTCCCGGAAGAGCCGCAGCGCCGCCGCGTCGTGCCCGTTCTGGGCATATGCCGCGATCATGAGCGTCCAGGAGAAGACGTTGCGATCAGCAATGCGATCGAACACCGCGCGCGCGATCTCGGCCGCGCCGCACTGGCCATACATCTGGACGAGGAGATTGGCGAGGAATCGATCGTCACCGTGGCCGCGATCCACAATGTGCTGGTGGATGCGCTTGCCCTCGCCGAGCAATTGCCGACTCCCGCAGAATCTCATGAGGAACTCGTACATGGTGAAAGTAGCGCCGCACAGGAATTCGTCCAGGCGATCGGGAGTGAAGCCCTTCTTGGGGCGGCCTTGGAGAATGCATCCTCCTCCACGATTGTGGGAGGAATACTGCTGGTGGCTCGATGACTTGGATCCTGCCGTGTTGAAAATCGCGCACGCTGCCATAGGATGAGGACTCCACTGTATCATGCATAGGAGAAACTCCCACTCCAAGAACCCTAATCCTAAAGGCGGCAAAAGCTTGAGTTTTAAAACGCAAACTTTTGGCGGGCGAGGCTAGGGTTTGGAAATATTTTGGGGCAAGAGAAAGAAAGATGAGCGCTCGACGGGGCCGGAGAAGGAATGCCGCCACTGCGCCATCGCCTGCATCGCCGCTGGCGCCTTCTTCTCCCGTGAAGAATGTCTCCGATCTCGCCGCCTTGCGAGCTTGCTTGGATTCTCGGATCGAGAGCCTGCGCGCCGATGCGGACAAGATCCAGGCGGCTTGTGGCAAGGAGCTGGAATCGACACGCCAGAAGCTCAGGAAGCGAGTGGAGGTAAGCAGTCGCTGAGCTAGCTATGCCGATCGTGCTGCGGTGGGATGAAACTTCTTTCACAGGCAGAGCAGGAAGAGGCGGCAAAGCGCGCCGATGCGGCCAATCGGGCGTGGAAGATCTTTGCAACGGAGTACGAGGAAGATCTCCTGGATATCGAGGTAACACATAGCTGGAAATATTTCTTGTTTGTTTCTTTTGACATTCTTTTGCTAGCAGAACACGTACAAGGAGCTTGCCGCAAAGTTCCAGCGTAAGATCCAAATTCTTGACATAGTTTGCTGTGACGAGCAAGATCTAACAAATGTTTCCATTGTTCTTCTCTGTTCCCCTTGCAGCTACAAAGGCGCCTTGCAGTGAGGTCGTAAAATCGGCCGAGGACCAGATCGAAAGCCTTCGTCGCAAGTATGTGAGAGCTGGATTATAGCCTTCGTTTTTCTGATCGATGGTCACCATGATCGATTCCTATTCTTTTCCTTTGCTACATAATCTCTCATCCGCTACTCTACAGGTTTTCTGAAAATAAAACCTTCACAGATCGAGCTTCTCTCATGGTTGGATTTTCTTCGCATTTTTTTAACGTTCTTATTGGCACCCAACAAAAAACTGACATGTGGCATTTGGGCGCGCTGACATGGCACTTTATTGGTGCTGGATTGTCTTGCTGTGACCTTTTAAAAATCTCTGGCCTTGCTTCTATGGAAGATGAATCTCCACGACCTAATAATGGAGGCATTGCCCGAGGATGCCCTGGCGGAGGAAGAGGAGAGCCACAGCGACGATGGAGTACCGATTCTCTTCCAGGGATGGCGATCCACTCCGAATTTCGTGACGAATTCCTCGTCCAGGCCGCTGATCAGGTTCGTCGATGGCGTGGATCTAGATTCAGGGAGCCAGGACGCCGCTGCCGCCGCGGCTCCTCCTTATCTGGCAGACATCGCTTTGGATCACGCGTCCTTCTCAGCGATCGCAGCGGAATTCGAGCAGAATTTGCAGGAGGCGGATCGACACCGCGGTGCCAGGGTTTCTCCGGATGATCGTCGAGAAATTCCCAACCATTGCTTATCCGGGGCTGATCGGGAGGATATGAGGCCCAAGATGGGATCGTCGGATAGATGGGTTGTGATGAACGTTGGGGGCATCCGGTGGACAACTACGGTGGAGACTCTATGCATGGATTCCGGATCCATGCTCGCTGCCTGGGTGCTCCGGTACCGCAGCGACGAGGAGGAGGAGCTGCGAATCGATCGAGATGGCAGCCGATTCGCTCATGTCCTGAATTACCTCAGGGAGGGGACGCTGTGGCTGGAAGATTTGCCATCACTCAGAGGAATCTACGAAGAGGCAAAGTTCTACCAGCTCAAGGGACTCAAAGCTCTTTGCGAGGAAAGGATGCTCGAGGTGGAGGCCAAACACGCGGCCGAGTCCAAGAGGCGGAAGGAGGAGATCGAGGAGGCTCTCAAGGGAGCATTCTTTCGGTGGGAGAGAGATCGAGCGTACCACTTTCCCAAAGGAAAGAACGACGTGCTAGCGATTTTGCGAGGCAGACGACTGGGTATAAGCGAGCCACCAAGATTCGACATGAACGAGGACTTTTAGAATTTCTTGTGTTCTCTCATAGATCCAATTTCGATAGGTCGTGAGTGTAATTTTTCTTATTGGTGCATACCTGAAATAAATGATATTCAACTAGTTAAATGAACAATTTTTTCTCAAATAATTAATAATGTTTAAGTTTAAACAAGGAAGGTTTCTTATAATTAATAAAGTTAATTTATTTTTTTATCACAATTCATATATTAAATTTCAAGGTCTGTCATTTGTAACATTATAATATAAACTATTTATAATCAAATATAATTATAAATGTTCTGATATAAAGTTTTAAATATTAAAAAAACATAAAGAAGAAATATTTTCTTCCATTTTATCAATATAAAAATAGCAATTACTCAAATTTATGTATTGACTGCATGTGAATTTTTAAAACTGTTTCGAATGCTTGAAAAAAGCTATATACCACACAATGATGAAGATTATCACCTTGCATTTAGGTATAAAACTTTTGGTTACCTTAATTTTTAAAAGATTTTTAATATATTATCTTGAAAAAACACTAAACCTTTTAGTAACACGATTATTTTACATTTTCACCAACCAATGATAAAGATTTATATTTATTAAATCTCAAATATTTTATTTACATAATTTAAATTTTTATATTGTGAAATAAGATACCAAAAAAATATATTTATTATAATTAAAAAATATAAAAATATATTAACTGAGAAATAAAATAACTTCCTACTTTATATTTCCAACAAAAAAATAAATAAATTAAAAATATAATAAAAAAACAAACTACTACAAAACTAAAAACTAAGTAAAAAAGATATTTGTATTTACTAGTTAGCTCTTACAAATTGAACATCAATATTTTCAATTACTTTAAAAAATACCATCTTAAAATTTATTTATTAAAAAATAATAAATTTATTTTATAAATAATTAAAAAATTAATATATAATTTAATCTATAAAGTATAATTACATTTTTCCTGTAAAATCTCATATAAATTTTTAAAATACAATTATTAAAATTCATATCACCTAATAAAATTGAAAAATGTTACATTATATAACCATGAAAGTTCATTTAGTTCTAGATGAATAGTGTAAAAGAAGTTAAAGGAGAAATTATAAATTGAATTATGTTATATATATAAGGTTTAAGTATAAGTGTATAGTTTCAATGCCATATATTAATATTAGCATAGTGAGATTTCGGTAACCGTTGGATTGATTTCAATTCGGACTACTATAAATTAAGGTTTTTTGGGTAATGGATATGCACATTTTCTATATTTATTTTCATATTTCATACATTCACATTGGTGGAGGTGTGGTGCAATTTTGATTATCCCTAATGAGTTCTTGGATTTGGGATTCTGCTATATATCTAACTTTTATATTATCTAGATCTCCTTTTCCTTATAGCTTTTTTAATTTCTTCTCTTTTGGTCTTTTCCTTTTCATTCATTTTTATAGTAAAGTAATAGTGTCCTCCTTTTTTGACTCTGGAGTAGCAATTGGTGCAATTACTCGATGTTATATAGTTGTATTTAAACAATCAAACTCAATTAACAATGGAATTTACAATATATGGTATAACTCATTTTACTCTTGTTGCCAATCCTTGAGTCCTACTAGAGTTCTTCCGTGGGAACCTTGGGGATTATATATACCACTAGTTTGATCACTTCATGATGATTGCTATATATCATTTTTGTGATGATGCTTGGCATTTCTATGAATTTGCCATGTGTTTTTAAAAGACAGTGTTGTAATGGTACAATAATTTAAGTGCAGCCACTCGTGAGGATTGGAGTATTCTCCCAAACATCTTCAAATATGCATTTGAATATACCAACAATTGTGATAATGCCTTTCAACAATTATATCATTCTTGTTAAGATTTATCTGAGTCTATGATACAATTTGGCATTTGTTTTTTAAGCTTCTTGCTCCGTGCAGAGCCAAATATATCAGAGTGGATCAAGTTGGGAATGTTATGGCCAACACTTTATCAAGATTTTGTAGAACTTGTGTATGCACTTGCTTTCGCCGTCCTTAGCAATGCTCTCACTTGGCACAATGTTATAAAATGTCACTTTTTCCACTTCTCATTGCACGTCTTTGAACTCCACTTTTTATGGGAGATAATCCTATTCCAATGGAGGTTGATGTTGTTGTTGCCCAAGTTCAAGGACAAGGACAAGGATGTGGTCGTGCCTATGATATCCACTATTGAGTGTATAATAAAATTCATCACACTTATCGGCATTGTCGGCATTTTCTGGATTGTCAACCTCTATTTCCTAAGTGGAGACCTTGGCATTAATAATATTTTGTTGGTGTTGTTGCAGTGGAAAGTCTTGACATTGAGATGCTTTCAAGAAATGAGGAGTTGCATAAGTAGCAAAGGTACCTTGTGCAAATAAATCAATGACCCCTTTATCTTTTTTTTGAGAGTATTATCAAGGGGTTCATTCGACACAAGTGCATCCAATGTTCACTTTTTAAGTTTATTTTTATAATAAGAGGTCTTTTATGCTTCTCTTTGTGTTGGTTATACATGCTCGAGTTTATCTTTTATTGTTTAGCATGTTATCACACATTATCGTCTACATTTGCATCGTGTGTGTAGCGCATGTGATCATAGGATGAGATTTGGATATACTGTCACCGTGGATCCTTGAAACTTTAGGCGATAAATGGGGATAAATAGCCACTAAAGGCTCTCTCATCAAGCAATTGCCCCTTTTCTAGTTGGCTTAAGGGGAGAGAGATAAGGTGCGCTACAGTGTGGTAAAGCCAGTTTTCATTATTTATGGCAATAGCCATACACACCTATATACACGGGATGAGGCAAACTTAGTTGTGTGTATGGGCGGTCTCAAGTTTGAGTTGCAATTATTGCTGGTACTATTGACTCAAGTTTTTAACTTCATCCCTTGTATGGATTGGTTGTGGCATAATTATGCCACGTGTGACTTTGAGGCCTTTTTATATTTCTATCTTATTCTCCTATTCCCTCTTCTGATCCCTCCAATAGTTTTTGTATTGTAATGGTTAACCGACTCATGAAAAAATATGCCGATCTCTATTGTTTAGGGCTAAAATTGCAACACATCATCCTATTCCAACTGGGGATGCTCGTCCAATCAAGGTTCACAAGATTTTGTGTGCAAATGTCAAAGAGATGTTAGAAAAGGGTGTTATTTAAAAGTTCTAAAGTCCTTAAGCATGTGAATCTCATCTTGTGACAAAGTTTGATGGGAGTATTTATTTTTACATCGATTATCATCAATTAAATGAAGTGACAATCCCAGACATATACCTTCTTTCTCACACTACTGATCTCTTAGATCATTTTAAGAGAAGTCTTTAATTCACCAAGTTAGATATTGTTTTTGGGTACTGGCATGTACCAATGGCCGAGAAAAATATTCCTAAGATTACTTTTCATACACCATTTGGTTTATACAAGTTTTTAATGATGCCATTATAAACAACTAAAGAGAACGACTTGAAAGGCAATCCATGGGGTTCAAATATAAAGGGAAAGAGCCCACTTCCAATCGGTTAAGGGTTTTGCGATATTTGGGGTTAAGTGTCATTGGGTTTAAATATTATTGGGTTGGGTGACCTCTCAAAAAATCCAAATTCAAGAGGTTATATTTTATATCAAAGAAGGTTTAGGGTCTGACTCTATTGGTTCGCTTAGGGGAATCACACCATATATTGATTAACATTTAATAAGTCTAATTTACTCCGAGGGGTAAGGTGTTAAGATAGCAAAGCTTTTAGGAGAGTTATAACTCTCAACTTTCATTCACGAGGGTATAAATTTACAAGGAAGTGTGGTGAATTATAAGCAACTAAAGAGAATAGTTTAATTTTCTCCAGTTGGGCTTGACCCAAGGGGTAGAGTGTCAAAAGAGCAGGGCTCTTAGAAGAGTTCCAACTTTTAGCTTTTGTTCACGAGGGTACGAACTTGTAGGGAAGTGTGGTGAATTATAAGTAACCAAAGAGAACGGTTTGAGAAATGATCCATGGGGTTCAAATATATAAGGAAAGGGTTTATGAACAATAATGCACCTTCTTTTCCAATCAGTTAAGGGTCTTGGGATATTTAGGCTTAAACATCCTTGGGTTTAAATAGTATTGAGCTGGGTGATCTTTTGGGAAGTTTAAATTTAAGAACTTACAGCCATTTGATTTGAATAATGCTCTAACAACTTTCTAATGAATGATGGATATAATTCTTTATGATATGCTAGGAGTGACTACTGACTTCATTGATAATGTCTTGATTCACTCGGAAAGGACATGAGAAGAACACATCCATGATGTTTGTAAGGTGTTGGATCAACTCACCTACAAATCTACTAATGCCTCCTTTTGATCTTCTTTCATATCCCAGCCCATCCACAAGAGAATTTTGACATCTTAGTGTCACCATGGATCTTATAAGTGCTTAATAAGTTCCTCTAGATCATGGCATTGGGTTCCACTAGCATGGTGGCGATCAAGTGTTTAGTGACTTCTAACTTCATTAATGATGTCTTGATCCACTCGGAAGGGATATAAGCTTGCAAGTTGATTTTGACAAACTGGTGGTTGTTCCAAGGTTTCCCTACTCTAAAGTGTGTGAATGATATGCAACATTTCTTGGGCAAGGTGTAATATTTTAGTTATTTTATTGATCATCTTTTTTATCACATTACACCGTTACAAGTGTTGCTCAAGTTGTCAATGTTATTTTTCATCTAGTATGTGGACTATGAGCGGGTGTTTTATTGACGACTCTTCCAATTTTGGTGTATCCTAACTACACTTGATTTTTCATTTTATGCATAGATGCTTTTGATATTGGTTTTAAAGGTGTGTTAATACAAGAGAGTTTGAGTGTGCCTGGTCAACACCATTTTGTTGCATATATCAACACAACCAAGTGAAGTGAACTATTCCATAACATAGAAGGAGTGTTTAGTAGTAGTTTAGGGTTTCAAGAAATTTCATACATGTCTATATGATTCTCGAACATTACTAAAAGGTGATCATGTTGCATTTACTTCATTATTAAAGTAGAATAACTTGGCTAGTCGTACTGCTCAATGGGCTTTTAAACTTCACATATATAATTTTGATGTTGTTCATCACTTGGGGAGTTTTATGGCTGATGTTGATGCCCTTTTTTGAGCTCCTTTTCCTTCTTCACTCTTTTCTCATGTTTTTTACGAGCCTATTATTCTAGCATCTGTGCATTTTTTAAATGAGAATTTTGTACCATATATGGTTGCTATACTTGATGTTTAATGTCCATAAGATGCAGAGCAAGATTTACCTTCCATTGATGAGGTTTGTGAGGCTCAAGAAATTGAACTGTGGATTCGAAGTCTTTGCAATGGGTTTAAGAGTATTGCATCACTTATTAATGATTTAACATTTTGGCGTTTACATTCTTAATATTACCTTGAGAACAGTCTTTTTTATTTTATGGGGATATATCTTGATGATCATTTATGGCTAGTGGTGCTTTCAATATTTATTCTATATTTTCTCCATACCTACTATAATTCTTTTGTTCTAGACAAGCATATGGGATATTGTCATGTGACCAAGAAGTTACAATAGTTTTTATATTGGCCAGAGGTGTGATATAATATTATTTAGTATATGCATAACTGCATTTGGTGCTAAGCTCGTAATATTCCCCCTCGTATTGCAAAACGATAGTTAGAGTCAATTATAATTTCCCATCCATTTGAGTTGATGACATTTGATTTAATAGGGCCTTTTCCATGGTCGACTGTTAACAATAAGTATATCATTATTGCTTTTGATTATTTGACTTGCTAAATGGAAATCAATGTTCTTATTAGTGCATCTGCAACTGTTATTGGATACTTCCTCCTTAATTAAGTGGTGTTTTAGAAATTTTTTCTGGAGTGGATTCGTTCATATAATGGTCATGCATTTATACGCTGAAGCATTTCAAGTTTTGACGTCTCGGTTAGGGATATGCCACACTTTCATGAGTGTTTATCATCTAATTAGATGGTAAGGTGGAATGTCTTATTTGAACTTTCGAAGGGATGATCATGAAGTATATAAACTTTTAGCGTTTAGATTGGGATTGTTATTTGCTATCTTTTCGGTATACGCATGCCACAAGGGTGTAAAGTTTTGTTGATGCTTCACCTCTATATAATCATTATCCAATATTACCAATGAGATTTGGTTTACTTATGCAATTGCCATGAATTGTTCATGTTAGGTCGTGGGATCAATATTTAATGAGCATTCTTCCATTTTTCCGAGTAAAGTCTACTAAACACTTAGGCTATATACAAATAGGACAACAACAACATTATAACTCCCATCATTGTCCATTTGTAAAGTACAAAGTAAATGATTTGGTGTTAGTCTATTTCCCAATTTTACAATATATGGTTTATCTAAGGGGCTTCTTAATCAGTGGAAATGACAATATGGTATGTTGAACCTTATAAATTTGTGGTTCAGCTTGACATCCAACAACCTGATCCTCTAGAAAATTTGCCTATACAATGCTTAAAATGTTTTGCACAAAAGGATTAAAAACAACTAACACCATCTATAAATTTACTAATGCCTCCTCCTGATATTCTTCCAAATCCTAGTCCATTCACAAGAGAACCTTAACAGTCTTCCATCATTTCGAGAGGAGGGGATGATATGAAGTCTAAATATACATCTACAATGCCATATAATGTAAGATTGATGCTATCATGGAGGCTGCCAGATTGTGAAAACTACAAGCCTAAGCGGCTCTGTCATCAATGATCCTTGGCTTGCCGATCCAACACGGACGAAAGTCAATCAGGACCTCTGTGCCGCTGTTGGTATTTTCAAGTGGCTTTGGATCAGACGAAGGCAATCTCAACAGAAGGCCGAGAAGAAGAGTTGGCGCTGCTGCTTCAGCTACACAGATTGTACGGCGACAAGATCAGCAGCTGGATAGTTTTATCAACCACTGGGAAAAGCAAATACGGGTTCTACTGCAGTGAGACTCTAGCCAGGGGTATTGAGTGGCTTGCGACTTTAGTGCCGGCTCAGCCAGAGCTTCATGCTGTGGATCTCCGCGACTTGGTGGCAGAAAAGCTCTACTCTACGTTAAACTCGTCACGTGAAGAAACCAAAGCCGGGCCCGGAGACTACGTCTTCAGCAAAGCGCTCCACGACGCTACAGCGGAGGTGACAAATGCTGCCAGTACGAGTCCCAGTCACTGGCCTCCTCCCGACCTTGCGACTTCGTCGGAAGATTGGTATAAGGATCAGGACACTCCTCCCGCGGGCTGGAACAGCTTTGCGACTTAGCAGCCAATTTTCTATGCGCTGGAGCTCTGCCGACTGCGTCCCTTTCCTCGTCTTGACGAACGAACCACGTTTGCTCTGGCTCTCTCACCATTGTCGGCGGTGGCTCCCCGACTGCGTGAGAGCTCAATACATGTCTCTACTGGAAGTGTACCTGAGGAAGCTCGGCTACGAAGAACTGGAGGCTAACCGTGTCGCAGCCAGCATTTTGGATGGAGCAGTGAGCCTCGAGTGGTCGGAAGGTGGCCGCGCGGGCGTCGGGTGTTTCGGAGCATTTTCTGGACGAAGCTGATGCGTCCCAACAGCGAGCCTCCCCGACGGTTTATCTCTTGCGCGAGATCTCCTTTCACAGAGACGTGGTAGGGGACTACAAAAAGAGTCTCGCGTTTGCTTCTCGGCTCCAAGGTGGCAACTTCCCCGAGTCGATCCAGGTGAGTTTTGTGGAAAGATACAACCAGCAGTACACCGAGACTGCCTGTGATACTGCAACTTCAAAGCCAGAGGACGTTATGCTCAGGCACGAGCTCAAGTACCTGAGAAGCGGAGATGAGCTCGAGCTACTTCCGAAGGCAGTGCTACCTCAGCCGGAGCCAGAGGCACGACTGGACGAGCTAGTGGCAAGGCTGGACAAAAGGCTGGATGAAAACACTCAGGCAGCAGCGACTGGACTGGAAGAAATTCCTCAGCCGTGGACAGAGGACACGAAGCTGCTCGTGCTCACGCCAGAGGGGATCGACTTGGAAGTTTTGGAAGTGACGAGCCCGAGGTCTTCAAGCTCGGACAGCTACAAGAGGTTTAACGAGCTCTTGAGTAGCTAGACGCTCGTCTCTGGCAAGCTACTTTGGTGTTTTTTAATAACTACTTGGCAAATGTTTGTAAATGTATTCATTTCTTTTCAAGGAAACCACAGGGTAGCTTTGTGTAGGTCGTCTCGTTTTGCCACTGCCAAAGCGTACACTTCCATCTACCTATCGCTATGGAACATTGTTCTATGTCACCGTTGCAATCTCATGGCGTTGCAAAAACAAAAGGAAGTTAGAGAAACTATAAAGAAAACTAAAGAGAACATAGACCTGGGGTTGAAGCCTCTCAGTTCGTTAAAACAAGCATTTTGGTTAGAACAAGCACCTGTCAAACTTCGACTTCCATATCCTTGAACAGCCGGAGTTTTCATGATCGTTGTTTTCATTGAGGTTGGACCATTGTCATGAACGTCTTCAACTGGATTGAAGTTCTGAAGTCGCAGATGCCCAACGTTGTTTCTCAGCTCGCAGGTCTTGCGTTGAGCGCAGCAGCAACATCGCTGACAATCTCTCCAAAATGTTGACACAGAATCTCTCCAATCTCGTAGCATTTTTCTTCTTGGACACAGCGTTTTTTAGTTCTTATCGTGGTTGAACAGCACCAACATGTCACTTGTCTTTTTCATGACAAGAAATTAGAACAAATTGAAACACACACAAACCTGACAACATGAAGCTAAGTTTGTCAACTTTCAATGATCGTTAGTTTCCCTTCCCGTTGAAAGTTTCTTGGGCCGTTGTTTGCACTTAGTTTGTTTGAGTTGTTTGAGCATATCATCTTAGCTTGACTGTGTCACTGGCTCCCTTTTGCGTTGAGCATACCCCGTCGACAATCTCAATCGAAAAGAAAGAGCGTCTTCAAACGTTGAGAGTTTCAACAAATTCTTGATTGCTTCTAGCCTCTCTTTTATCGTTGATCATTCTAGAGCATATTTCTTGTCTCCGGCAAATCTCTCTTGTTTCGTTGTCTTACTCACTGAACTTACCTTGCGAGGTGGAGAGGTGCGAGAGTGGACCGGGCCTGTCAAGGATCAGCGACGGATCATGATCGTTGCTTTCATTGAGGTTGGACCATTGTCATGTACATTTTCAACAAACGTTTTGGTTAGAACAAACAGCTCACGAACCTGTTAAACTTCGACTTCCATATCGTTGGACAGCCAGAGTTTTCATGATCGTTGTTTTCGTTGAGGTTGGACCATTGTCATGTACGTCTTCAACTGGATTGAAGTTTTGAAGATTGCAGATGCCTTACGTTGTTTCTCAGCTCCCAGGTCTTGCGTTGAGCAGCAGCAACATCGCTGACAATCTCTACAAAATGTTGACATAGAATCTCTCCAATCTCGTAGCATTTTTCTTCTTGGACACAGCATGTTTTAGTTCTTATCGTGGTTGAGCAGCACCAACATGTCACTTGTCTTTTTCATGACAAGAACTTAGAACAAATTGAAACACACACAAACCTGACAACAAGTTTCCCTTCGCGTTGAGAGTTCCTTGGACCGTTGTTTTGCACTTAGCTTGTTTGAGTTGTTTGATCAAGCATATCATATTAACTTGGACTGTGTGCGTTGAGCATAGCATCGAAAAGAAAGAGCGTCTTCAAACGTTGAGAGTTTCAACACGAATTCTTAATCGCCTCTAGCCTAGAGAATACCTCTTAGCTCGTTGCAAGCAGCTTCGCTTTCTTGCCTCCAGCAAATCTCTCTTGTTTCGTTGTCTTACTCTAAACGAACTTACCTTGCGAGGTGAGAGTGGACTTGATCCGTCGCTGATCCTTGACCGGCCCTGATCGTTGTTTTCATTGAGGTTGGACCATTGTCATGTAGAACTTCAGCTGGATTTAAGTTCTGAAGATCGCAGTTTCCCAACGTTGTTTCTCAGCTCGCAGATCTTGTGTTGAGCGCAGCAACAACACAACTCAAAGCTCCAAAACGTTGACACAAAATCTCTCCAATCTCTTCTCTTCTTGGCACACACTGTGACATGGGAGTTTTTCAGTTCTTATCGTCGTTGAGCAGCACCAGCATGTCACTTGGCTTCTTCATGACAAGAAATTAGAACAAATCGAAACACACGCGAACCTGGCAACGTGAAAATAAGTATCGTTGATCGTTAGTTTTGTTCGTATTCAAACAGCGTTGTCCACATCGGTGAGTTTCCCTTCGCGTTGAGAGTTCCTTGGCCCGTTGTCTTGCACTTTGCTTGTTTGAGTTGTTTGTGTTACTGGCTCCCTTTTGCGTTGCAATCGAAAAGAGGTGTCTTCAAGCGTTGAGAGTTTCAACACGATTTCTTGATCGCCTCCAGCATACCTCTTAGCTCGTTGCAAGCAGCTTCGCTTTCCAAATCTCTGTCTTACTCCTAACGCAAAGAAAAGCCCTACCTAAACAAACTTACCTTGCGAGGGTGGAGAGAGGCGAAGCGGCCTACCTGGAGCTCCGATCAATGGGCAGAGTGGAAGGGTCGCGAAACCCAAGACGCGGCATCCATCACTGCTCTAGCCCTTTATCACCGATGAGCCCTAAACTTGAGCTAAGTACCACTGTTTTATATAGACAGGGCAAAAAGGGGAAGTTCTCAATTAGTGCAAAACGAAGAATCTTACTTGATCCAGAAGCTTCCCGTGCTGGCAACAGCAGCACGGAAGAGCCAACCAGCAGGCTCCGATCAGCAGGATTCCTCGAGCCGGCGATAGGATCCGTATGCATCGTGTTAAACAAACACAACATGAAATGCGTCTCCGACGAGCAGCATGTCGCCTTCCTTATACAGCTTGCCACGTTCAGGTTCTCGTCAATGCTGAACAGATGCTGCAGATCCTCCAGGAGTTGCGTGTTGCATGTATAATCCCCAAAACTTGGACAAGTCCAAAGCTCGTCCCACTGCACCCTGTTTGTGAACTTTTGAAAAGTAGAAGATTCAGAGTTTGGCTCTTCAAATAAAGAATGAGATCTTACTTTGGTGCACGTCCTGCTTGGTTGCTGTTGTTGCTGCTGCTGGTTCCAGTTCTGGCCAGTAAAACACTTCCTGAAGCCAGAAGTTTCCAACTTGAGATCCTTGTGGACGTTGTCTTTGGCAGTGCTGGCCAAAGCTGTCTTTGGTTTCAACGAGACGAGAAACCAAATAGTTTGCACTTGCGGTGAGAATTGTTTGCATTACCTCTCGTAAGGGGCTCTTCACCTCCTGAAAGGGTGGTAATTGTTGGATTGATTTGAATGTAAATTATTTGCTTATGTATATACGTTAGGGTTTTTGGGCTAATGGATGTGCATATTTTTATATGTATATATGTATGTATATGTGTATGTATGTATGTATTTATATTTGTATATGTGTATATGTCCTTGCGATCATTAACAGGTAATATATTAATTATATTAAGTTTAGGATTAAATCTACTCCATTCATTCATGTATATAAGGAGAAGTTTAAATACCTATTTCTAAATCTCAAGCATTCACATCAGTGAAAAGTGAAAGTGAGGACCTTTGCAATTTATCTTTAGAGGGCAAGGTTTTTTTGGTAATGTTTTATATTCAGGGTTATGCTTTCATTTTTATTCTTTCAAATTTAAAATTGTAACTATCAGATTTGAAATTTTTTTTAATCTCTATTACATTCTCTTCTTCTATAATGCCAATTATCGATTAAAGAGTATATCACTTTAAATTACTCCATTGAATTGAGTTTTTGATGTTATAATGTATGATTATATTGGTGTTATACCTATCCTTTGTGTATTATCATCTCTAACTCTCATAAGACGTGATTATATAGCTTCTATTCTTAGTGTCTTGCCATCTCCTATTGATATGGGTATAATTGTGATATTGTGATTGTAGAGATATTAATGATTAAATAATGTTTACAAGCTTAAATGGAATTCTATTGATAAAGAATTCAAGATGAGTTGAAGATTTAGTGGGGTAAGTGTTGATTTTTTAATCTACCATTTGATCCTTTATATTTGTATATTGCTCTTTCTCAACTTTTTTTTTTAATTTCTCAGTTTAAGCCACTTTCTCATGTTTCTAATGCTTTTTTCTCATCTACAATATTTTCTTTTCCTAAGATATCAATAATTTGTGACTTTTATCATTCTCATTTTTAAACCAGCATTGAGTTAAGTGTTTTTTGGTTTTTGTTATACAAAATCTGAATGTTGAGTATATATATAAAGTTGAAAATCTTGCTTTTGTTTTGTTAGTGGAGGTTTAAGGTGTGTGTTGAGGAAGTTCAACAATGTGAATCTGTTATTTATGTTATGGTCATTAACATATTTTGTAACAAGAGGTCTTTTGTTTTCCAAGTGTTTGAACACATTTTCTTCTTTTTATTTTTTCATTTTTAATTTAATAGTTTCTCTTATTTGCCTTGACATTTCAAACTTTCTTTTTTCAAAAAAAGAGGTGGAGGAGTGATGAGAATGATGGAGTGAGGATTTATTGATAAAGCAAAAAAGAACAACATGGATTGTAAGTGAGTACAAGTATAGTGAGTACAAAGATACTAAATTTGAATAAAACATCTACCACAAATCTAGTGAGGTTAAACAAATATGGTAATAAAATGAAGTTGAATATAGGTAACAGAGTGAGGTTAAGTGTAATAAGTTTTTATGAAACTAGTGTTTCAGATTTTTTTTCTGTCAAGGAAGGTATATTGAGGATGTGAAAGATAAATAAAGCAAATTTAACTTATTATATGTAGTGTTGAATGTTGACAAGAAAGAAGACGCAAAGATAAATTTTATTGATCAAGTTAATAATAGTCTTAAATGATGGCTAGCAAACAAATTTAGTGATGAAATATATTATTTATTACAATAATGTTTTGTGGATTATAATGGTTTTCAAAGTGCCTTGCTTTAGTTCAAAATTATAACTTTAAAATTAGTTCAAAAATTAAGCATTACACACAGAATTATAACTGATTCATTGGGGTTTTCTAATTAATTGATGCTTGTGCCATGACTTTGGGTTTTATTTTTGTTATGGTTGTCAGCAATTATATTAGTGGCAATTTTATAATTTTAACAGGCTAATTATATAATTTATTACACTAAGATTCTTTCAAAAGTAACTTCTTATGGCTGTGAGATTCTAACATCAGCTGAGGAGTAGATGGAAAGCCAGGTGAGACGGGATAACTTCTCCCTTTCACTGTGCTTTACCAGACTTCACATTATTGAGTATTTGCTCCAGCCTGAATTTCATCACTGGCTGCCCCTTGGAAGTTTTCTTAAACATCTTTGCCTTGGTCTGCTTCCTCAGCTTCTCCGAGTGCTCCCGAGCCTGCTGCCTCGCCGCATTCTCCTTTGCTCTCTCTTCCTTGACAACTTCCACCTCCTCTTTCTTCCTTTTATATTCGCCTCTCAGCCTCTCCAGGGAATTGAAGCCCCGTTTTCTGTGCCTTCTTCCACCAATTTGGCTACGGCTGCCCCCAGCACCATCTTCATTCTCTGCCTCTGCGTGTGTAGCATCCTCTTCAGGTTTCTACAAGAAGCTCTCTCTCTCAGCAACGTTTTCTGCACCAACTACAAAACTTACTTGAGGATCGAGCTCCTTCTTCAGCTTCTTATACTTCTGCACCTTCTTGGCGTTCTGGTAGAACTCGCGCTTCTTCTCTGCGCAGGGAAGAGCAAAAAGATTGATACTAAATGCGATCAAATGACTCACTGATTTCACAGGGGTTGTAAGACGACCGGGATTTCACTGCCTCCTTGCCGCCTGGCTGCCGCTTCTTCATTTCCAACCCTAAAAAAGGTGGGCTTGTTTCTTCTCATTTACATCCAGCGCTCTTAAGCTGGAGTTTCTCATTCCATCCCAAAACGCTGTCAAAGGCCAGCCTCAGTTCCTCAAACGACTTGGAACCGTGCTGCTTCAAGGATCTCCAAGCGATGTGATCGTCTGGTCTGACGAGAATGACGATCCCAGGCTGAGACACTCCGCATAGCTCCCACCAGCTGCATTTGTCGGCTGCTACCACTTCGGTATAGGCACCGGCGTTTCTCTCCTTCCAGCTCCCAACGAAATCGGCCTCAGCGTCTCTAGCAGTCTGATCCGAAAGGACCACAACTCTTAGAGGAAATGGCGACGACTTTGATAGCTGCAGCGCGTCCTCGGCCCAGTTAAGACCACTCGCCGAGCACTCTACCAAGAACAGGAACTCGAGCCGGCTGGGATGGATCAAGTCTAAAGTCGACGAGATATCTTCCTGGAAACCAACACCACTGTGAGCGCGAGCATTGACAGAGAGAAGAATTCACTGCTTCGAACGCTTACGCAGCCAGGGGAACCGCCGTGCAAAACTTTGATCTTCATATGCGGCAAGCGCACTCCTGGCACGCTCAAAGGGACGTACTCTCGTTGCCTCTCCCGAGAGCTCTCCTCGACGTTATCCTCCGGTACAAGCGCTCCATTGGTATATCTGGAAAGAAGAAGTGGTGTGCCTAGACAAAGAAATGAAAGGCATACCTGAAGAGAAGATCCTCGGACGGGAACTGGAGCTGTAAGCTTTTACCCTGCTCCAGTATCTTTTTAACGTGAGAGATCCTTGCCTGGGCGACCGGATTGTATCTGTTGAGGAAGACCGACGCGACTTGGGCCCGGCCAACCGAGAAGATGCCGTCTAAAACCTGGGCCTGCAAGCTCTTTGGTAGGATGGATCCAACAGTGCTATTGATCGTTTCGTGCACCATTCTAATGATGAAAAAACAAAAAAGAAAAAGTATGATAGCGTCAAGAAATTTGAGGCAAGCTACCTGGCATAAGATGGATCGAGTCCCAAAGCCGATGGAATGGACATGGCCGCTTTGAAGTTCTCAACACTTAGCGCAGTGTTGGCCTTTGCAATCTGGAAACAAAGAATAAAAATTAGAAATATAGAAAACAATGAATGTTTTCTTCTTAACGGGTCTTCTTTCCGTCTCGTATGTTTCGAGAAGCGTGGATGGTGCCATGGAGTTGAGTACCGCGGCCAGCTTCCATGCTAGATTATGTGCGTCCTGTATTCCAGTGTTCATGCCTGGGATTTTTTGTGAGCATGGAGCCTTTGTGGAGCGAAAAGTGAAAGAATTACCGAAGCCACCGGCGGGAGGGAAGCGATGAGCAGCATCCCCTGCTAGAATTACTCGTCCTCCTTCACCGCACAAATACTTCTCCGCCACTTCCGCGTGCATGACCCACGGCTTGACACTCTTCACTTCCACGTCTATGTCCAACCTCAAAAGCTGGCGGATGGTCTTTTGACACTCCTGTAGGATCGAGAATAAAAAATGAGCGAGCTTGCTGATTGTCTTACGCTTTCTGTAAAATCATCGGCGTTTTGCTGTGGAGGATAAAATGGCATCTGCTTAACATGAAGCGTTAGGTGCATCGAATGAAAGAAGAGAAGCACACCTGAGCAACAAACTCCCCCAAGCGTAGATCATGCGCGACGATCACCGCTATCGCACTTGGATTAAACACAAAGAAGAGCATTCCGGGCCTGTTGTCCACCAAGTACTTGCTGAGCTTCTCACTGATGAAGTGCACGCTTATGAGCTGCTGTAAGTTGTGCTGTCCTTGGAGTGTAACTCCCATAGATTTCCTTACGCCACTTCCAGCACCATCAGCGGCAACCAAGTACTGGCAAGTCACGATTTTCTCACTGGCAGTGGATCCGGTAGGACGTAGCGTTGCCACGACTTTGTCGAGAGAGGATCGGATGGAGTCACACTGGTAGCCCATAAAAATGCTGCTCTGGTTTGGTTGCAAGGAAATGGGATCCAAAGAAACACCCGATCTGGTTGCGTTCTCCACGAGGATTGGAAGAAGACGGTGCTGCGAAAAATGAGCTACATTTGTGGGACTTCGATTGCTCGTCAAGTCTAGAAAAAAGAAAACAATGAGAAAGAAACCATCAAGTCACACAAAGAAAAAAGCAAAGAAATAATGCTTGCCTTTGGGATGGATGTGATCCACAACACCGAGAACTAGGCCATCAAGAGCAGTGCAATATGTAAAACGTCGCCAGTGGTCCAGTGGAGGTTGAAGAGTCTCGATTTTCGATCCCAGTCCGTCAAGCCTCCTGAAAATCTAGTGAAGAAGAAAAGAAAAGTGGAAAGCGTGGAGTTAACTTACCTCCATTGTCCTGTTATTTATGAAATGCGCCTGGGGATGATCCGGGAGCTTGCATCTCTTCTCGACGAGCAAAGACTGCACGCCTGTGCCCACCCAGCGATTCAAGTAAATCCAAATGGGAATGAGGAATCACGGTACCTAGTTTGCTTAGCAGGATTGAGAACGTTATTCCGACAGGCCCTCCTCCCACAATTACAACCGGAATTTCGCTGGGAATCGCGTCCACAGAAGGAATTGTCGAGAAGATCCGGCTGCGCACTGCAAGATCGCGCGCCCGGCGCCATTTCCCCGTTATTCGCATTGCAAAGCCCTAAACCCTAAGCCAACTCATAAGCCCGCGCGACGAATATTCCATCAAGTGATTAGCCCTAACGTAAAGCGCATATTCTGTGATCCTAGGATCGTCGTCGTTCGTGAAAACCGCAGGGAGGGAAGAGCCATGGCGCCCAAGGCCGCTCCAACGCCGTCGCCGCCGCCGCCGCCGCCAGCCCCGGAGCCAGCGGCTGTAGGTATTTCACTGCCGAAGCTATCGATTCTGACGAAATGCAGGCTGGGAATCGATGCTGACAAGCCCCTGTTGTTCTTGCTTGCCAGAGGCGCCCGAGGCGCCGCCGCCGGAGCCGACATTCACAGGCACCTGGTTCGATGATCCTGTTGAGGTGCGTTTCTCTTTCACTCGATCCATCCTTTCGGGAAGAAATCGTTCTTTTCATTCTGGTTTTCAGGGAGAAGCTGCTCAACAGGCAGCATTGGAATTGAAAAACAGGATAGAGATCAGAGCCTTGTCCGTGCGGCAATTCCTGGTAAGATTTTCTCTTCTTCTTCGTGTTTCGTTTGGAGAATTTACCTTGTATTCGATCTCTCATAGGAAAAAACGGTGGTACCTCTCCTATTGCAAGGCATGCACCACCTTGTTCTTGAAAGGTACGTGGTTTTGACCCCTCAGTCTTCCTATAAGCAGTGCACAGTGAAGCGAGGTCTTAGCAGTCTAGCCAGTCTTTGTTTCTCGTCGGTTTTCTTTTGTTTTGCTTCCCATTGCATTTGTCTCTGTCCAGGCCGTCGAATCCAGTCGAGTATTTAGCTGCTTTCTTGCTTAAAAACAATCCACAGGGGCCTGAGCCTCCGTTGCCCGAAGAGCCGCCTAAGGAATCTGCCGCTGGCGCTACTCCTACGGAAGCTCCTCCGGAAGCTCCTGCTGCTCCAAGCTAGACAAATTCTAGTTTATTCTCGTCCTGATCTTCTAGTTATCCTGATTCAGTTTTGTATGCATGCGGTGCTAGATACTTCAAACAGACTGAGTGACCGTTTTGATCCTTCGCGTTCTGTATGCATGGATCTTAGAATGCATGAGAAGTTGCGAAAAGAAGAAACATGAGAAGTTGCGGTAAAAAGATTTTCTACTTCCTGCTGTGTGGAGCTGCCAGTTTTACTGGCTGACAAACACGCAGCAGCATCTTTGGAAGTGACTACTGCCTGGAACTGACATAAGCAATCAGTTGCTAAACTTTTTGTGCTTCTGGATGCTCCACCTGTTGCCATGAAGTTGAGTCCTCTGGCAAGTTTTCCTCTTGATTTTCAGATGCTTCTCTATTTGTTGGAGGGTCATTGATTTCGTGCTCCTCCGTGTGAGTTTGATTTTCTGCTCGCTGAGCATCATTTTCTGCTGCTTTTGGAGCATCATCACCATCGTTGTTGAAGCTCGAGTCGTCCATGTCTATGAGTGACCCGTCGCTCGCGAAAATCCCCTCATAGGATACAAAGGAGAGCGATCTTAAGGTGCGCTCTAATTGATGGACTCGTTTCTCGTGTTCGGTTTTAACGATTGGACTGTCAAAACATTCTTCCTCAGGCAATTCTTCGGTATTGCTCTCTGCGATTTTCAACTTGGATTCACACCAGACTCTCGCACTCTCCTGAAGGCATCTAACCCGTCCCAGCCAGGACTTATCGTCCTTCTGAGGCGGTGTGTGCTCGCCGTCCTGGAAGCTCGGCCCGAGCGTTACAAGCGCAGCCACGCAGAGAGCGGTGGAGAGGAAGAGGGGAACAAAGTAGACAAGGACTTGGAAAAAAATCGGAAGTACAAAGAGGAGCAGCAGGCCAGAAGAGATGAGTGGATGCTTCAGAGGCGCATTGAGGATGTTAGAAACTTGGACAGCCATGTCCTGGGTGAAGCTTGCGAATCCTTAAGCGCTCGCAAACTTACCTCGGAAAAAGTCAACACTCTCGCTTCGAGATCGAGATCTAGATCTTCCCGGTAAGCCGTAGCCGTTGCTGCGTCGCGAGTTTCTTTTCTAAATCGTGAATCTCATGATCTTACCATGCAGGAGTCAGGACTCGCTGAAGAACAAGGAAACAAGGAAAGAGAGATCTCTCCAAGAAAAACTGTGCAGCCAACGAACGAGAGAAGACGAGTAGCTCTGGACTTTGAGGTCTGCTCCAGCTTAAAAAGGCTGCTGGGACGTAAAGATAAGCTCTTCACTGGACCCACGACCGGCCTTATGTTTGTTTATGCTTTTTTACAGGCCTCGGGAAAAGCTGGCCAGGCAAATGGGCTTTCGAGCAGAAGAAGACACATGAACAATGCAGGGATCGCAGTATGGTCGTTTCAGGCTCTTTGGGTGCTCGTACCATCGACACCATGTGATGGAAGAATACGATTCCAGTGAAGGTAAAAAAAAAAGAAAAAGGTTTTTATTTTCTGGTAAGATTTCGTCTTTCGCGTTGGCAATGCGTTTCATAGTGATACGTGTTCTTGTTTTTGTTTGTAGGATGGAAGACGGGGAGAGAGGACGTAGGACCGTTTTGATCGTGAATTATTTGGCCGCGTGGATGGATGGCTTCCTTTTTCTTCGAGCTTGTTCGGCTCTAAGGTTAGCTATCAATCAGAGGGACCCAAAGGCTGCCTGATTTCAAAAGGTATGGTGTCTTTTGCTTGGATTTGTGGCCTGTTCATAGATTGAGATTGTCCAGAGGGGCTTTCTCGATCGATCGAAGTGGCGCGAGAGTGACTGACTTTAAAATAAATGGATGGTCTTGCGGGAATCGGAGGAGTGGCGCTAGCATCTGGAAATGAGTTTGTTTTGGGAATCCTCGTAGCCATGAATGCACGGAAAGAGCTAGAGCTTGTCTTAACTTAATTAACCAGGTTAAATCTAAATTAGTCACGTTAACTAATCCTAGGGCTTAGGGTTTTTGTGGCTATGGCGGCCAGCGAGAAGAAGAAGAAGAAGAGGCGGAAGGGGCCGTCGCTCAATGACACTGGGCTCAAGGACAGCGATCTCCAGGAGGCTGAGCGGCTGCACGGATTGCTGTTTGGAGCGCTCGAGAATGCGGCAGAGGGTCTGGGCAAGGAGATTGAGGTAGGCGATGGATTTCGGAGGGATGTGCTAGGGGTCGATGCCGGGGAGGAGCCGGCCGCGGAAGAATGTGAGAGGAAGCCGGCATGGATCGACGAGGAAGAGAGCGAAATCCAGGTGAAAGAGGGCAAGGCTGTGTCGGCGGCGGAGTATGTTGCTGGGTTGAGGGCACAGCACGCGAAGCTCAATCCGGGGACCGACTGGGCAGCGCTTCCATCGGAGAAGAAGAAGAGAAAGAATTTTGATTCGGAGCTTGATTCCGATGTGGAGGAGGACGAGGACGAAGATCACACGAGAATTCTTCGAGAGAACGATGAGTTAGTCGTGAAGAGCAAGGTCCGGTTGCCGCAGGGATTGATCGAAGTGTCGAGGCTCAAGGATGGAAATGCCGATGAGCCTTCCAGCGCAGTGGTGAGGTCCGTGGAGTTCCACAGGAATGGCCAGATTTTGATGACGGCCGGGTTTGACAAGAGGCTGCGCTTCTTCCAGATCGATGGCAAGAAGAATCCCAAGATCCAGAGCGTCTTCCTGGACAACTTCCCCGTCCACAAAGCGAGCTTCGTGCCCGACGGATCCAAAGTCGTGGCTTCCTCGCGGAGGAAGATGTACGTCTTGTATGATCTTGCTCACGCCAAGGTGGAGAAGGTGATGCCTCCGGTCGGGAGAGACGAGCAAAGCCTGGAGAGCTTCGAGGTCTCTCCGGATAGCAAGGTGGTGGCTTTCATCGGGAACGAGGGATACATCCTTTTGAGCTCGCTTGGAACGAAACAGCTCATTGGAACGCTGAAAATGAATGGCTCTGTGCGATCGCTGGCGTTTGCGAACGATGGTCGCCAGCTTCTCAGCTGTGGCGGCGACGGGGAAGTCTACTGCTGGGACTTGAGCACCAGGAGGTGCTTGTACAAGATCAGGGACGATGGCTGTGTCAACAACACGGCGCTGTGCGTGTCCCCGGCAGCAAACGAGTACTTCTCCACGGGATCTTCCAGCGGGGTTGTCAACGTTTACAAGTACCAGGGACTCGCGAGCGGTGGTGCCGCCGCCGGGCCCGTCAAGACGCTGATGAACTTGACGACGGCGGCGGACACCTTGAAGTTCAACCACGACGGCCAGATCCTCGCGATGTGCTCGAGAATGAAGAAGGACGCGGTGAGGCTCGTTCACGTCCCTTCCTTCACGGTCTTCTCCAACTGGCCGACGCCGAAGACGGGCTTGCAGTACGTGCACTCGCTCGACTTTAGCCCCGGGAGCGGATATCTAGCAGCAGGAAACGCCGCGGGGAAGGTTTTGCTCTTCAGGCTTCGTCACTACGAGCACGCGTGACTACACAGGTCTTTTCTTCTATCTTTGGCGGTTTGCTTCCATGCTTCCATGACTCTCCTCTTGGGTCCCTTTGCAACTTCCAGCGGAATGCGCTCGCACAGGTCTCTCTTAGTAAAATTCCAGTTTTGCTCCGCCAACTTTTGCTCTTGTTAGCAGAGGGGATTGGCGCTGATGTAATGACTAGTGCAAGATTAATCCAGATCCGGGAGTTTTTTTTATAGTAAGCAGTCTCAAGCTCACGGGCTGGATCAGTACAGCAGACAGGCAGCAGGCTTAAAAGGACTCTCCACCACCCGAGTTGCCAGTAGTGGATTTTCAACTCTTCCTTCGACGAAGATGGCTCAGCTGAGTTCCGGTATCTCTCTTGGGCTTGCAGTTGTGCTGCTGTCGCTGGTCTCGTCTTTGCAAGCTCCTCCTGCTCGACTGGATCATCGGAACTCTGCCTTCGGTTCTATCACCAGGCGGACACTGCTGGAATGCCGCGATCCAAATCCGTATCTCAACTTCACGCTTGACACCGCAGGGCCGCTTGCGAATGTTCAAACAGTGGTGGCGACCGTGAGTGGTGTTCTTCAGCCGAGTGCCAGCGATTGGATTGGAGTATTCTCGTCCGCAACTCACAAGTAAGTGGACCTCAGTTTGCGTTCTTTCTTTGCTTTCTTTGGTTTTTATCTTGTTTTTTGTTTTGTACCTCTTTGGTGTAGTGCGAGTTGATAGAAAATGACTCGTACTAGCAACCCGTGTTTTCCCAGGAACTCTTTTACAGGTCTTGTCCTTTTATTTTTGGATCTTGGCGGAGTTTTCTTCTGTTTTGCTGTCAAAATTCGCGTGGATTGAGTGAGCTAATCAACTGAAACTCTTTCTTCTTTTTGGCAGCTACTCTGATTGCCCCGCCAAGGCAGTCTTATATTCTCAAACAGGTGATATAGCCAGCTTGCCTTTGCTGTGTGACTATCCTCTAAAGGTGAGATTTTGTAATTTCTTTTCTCTTTCTTTTCTTAAGACTCTTTCGATTTTGCAGTTCAAATTCTTGTCTAGTGATCCTGGATACTTGATCTGCTCAAACAAGACTTGTGCTGGCAAGCAGTGTGCCGTGAAGACGTGCTCTGGATCTGTATCTTTCCGTCTTATCAACATAAGGACCGACGTCACCTTTGTGCTCTTCAGTGGGGGCCTTGCAGTCCCCTGCATTCTCAAGGTGTCGCAGACTCTACCCTTTGCAGCGCCAAATTTTCCACTGTATGGCCATCTTTCTCTCGAGGATTCCTCGGGCACATCTGTAAGTTTTCAAAGATTGGATGCGTTGTTGTTATAACCTTTTTTTTGTTTTTACTGCTAGATGGTATTGGCGTGGGTCAGCAGGTCCTTCGATATCCACTACGTGGAGTTTGATCACGGCCGGAAATCCATGGATGAAGTGACAAGTTTTCAAATAGGAGATTTGTGTGGTATGATGTCGATTTCTATTTTTTCTCTTGGCTTCCTTTTATATTTGATTTTCTTTTTCCGCTGTAGATGCTGTCCCGGGACCAGCTAAGGACTTCGGTTGGCACGACCCTGGTTTCATACACATTGCGCGAATGCAAAATCTTAGGCCTGGTACAAGATACTCGTATCGGTATGGAAGGTAAGGAAGCTTCTTTTTATATTAAATTTTTAGCCATTTATTTGCAGCGATAATTCTGGCTGGTCCAACTTGAAAACGTTCACTACTCCTCCGGCTGGAGGAGCATACGGTACGAAGTTTCTAATCTTTGGAGACATGGGAAAGGCCGAACGAGATGGCAGCTTGGAGCATTACATTCAAGTAAGTTAAATCTCCAAAAGTCTTACGTCTTTGCGCTCCCGATTTTTTAATTTTTTGGCAGCCTGGAGCACTGCAAGTTATTGATGCCATGGCAAATGAGGCCGTAGATGCGATTTTCCACATTGGAGACTTGAGCTATGCTACCGGATTCCTTGCAGAATGGGACCATTTCCTGGAGATGATCGAGCCAGTAGCATCGAAGACTGCCTACATGACAGCAATTGGAAACCACGAGAGGTACTGATAAAGGTTTACTAAAACTTATAGATTGACTTGTGTGGCTTTTCAGAGATTATCCAGGCTCGGGATCCATGTATAGCACTCCAGACTCGGGTGGCGAGTGTGGGGTCCCATATCGATCTTACTTCCGGATGCCTGTCCAAGACATCGACAAGCCGTGGTACTCAATCGCCATTGGTCCCGTGCATTTCACAGTCATCTCCACAGAACATGACTGGAGCTCGACCAGCGAACAAGTATGCATTCTTATTCTTTTTCATGTTTACTCCAACGAAACCTTCTTCTACAGTACGCTTGGATGAAATCCGACCTTGAATCTGTCGACAGATTCAGTACACCATGGATAGTTTTCACAGGGTAACTGTTTTTATTCACATTTTCATTCTGTAAACTCAAGTGTGCGATTTTTCTTTCAGTCATCGACCTATGTACTCCACTCAACTGCCGGGAATTATTTCTAAACTTCTACCAGGTGTGGATCCGAAATTTGTAGCAGCTGTGGAACCATTGCTCTTGAGAAACAAGGTAAAACACGAGCTCTTCAAAGGAAAAACTAGAATGAAACTGTCTTTTTTTTTTTTTTTTGCACAGGTTGATTTAGCAGTGTGGGGACATGTTCACAACTATGAGCGAACTTGTGCTGTGTTTCAGGGCCGCTGCCTGCAGCACCCGATCAAGGATTTAGCGGGCGTTGATTTCTTTGACACTACAATTTACTCGGCTCCAGTTCACGCCGTGGTTGGCATGGCCGGATTCAGCCTGGATGACTTCCCTCGTAATGTAAGCTTGCAGCTTTGTTTAATATTATTTATTTCTGTTCAAGCTCTTTATATTCTACCTTTTCTATATTTTTTGTCGACAGTTTAGTTCATGGAGCTTGATTCGAAGGTCGGCATTTGGATATGCAAGAGTGACAGCCGATAAGACAAAGCTACTCTTTGAGGTAGATGAATTGCATTCTTGGTTCTTGCATGTTACTTATGTATTTTTCATTCCAGTACATTACAACGGACGGAACAGTAGCTGACCGGTTTAAAATTGCCAAGCTAGACTGGGGATTTTCCAGGCCGTGAACGATTTCAAGCCTTACAAGTTCAATCCAGTTGGCTTCTAGAGCTTGCTGATTTGCTTGACGCTGCCAAAGGCTCTTGCTTTGCTGCGCAGCACCTGTTTCTGGATCTTGCCAGTCGCAGTTTTGTCCAAGGCCGCGAGAATGACGACGCTCTTTGGCACCATGAACTTTGGCAAATGCTGTCGACAGAACGAGAGTATCTCCTCCTCGTTGCTCCTCACGCCGTACTTGAGAGACACAAACGCGCATGGAGACTCGCCCCACTTCTCGTCTGGCCGCGCCACCACAGCAGCTTCTAGCACTGCTGGATGCCTGGAAGAAAAAACGAAATGAGAAACAAGCAAGAAATAACTCTTCTTTTACCTGTACAAGATGCTCTCCACTTCCAGGCTGCTAATGTTCTCCCCTCCAGAAATGATAATATCCTTTGCTCGATCCTTGATCTCGATGTATCCATCGGGATGCCAAACTGCCAAGTCCCCGGAGTGAAACCATCCTCCTCTAAAACTCTCCAGCGTCGCCTCTGGATTGTTCAAGTAGCCCTTGAACACCATGTTCCCGCGCATGCAAACTTCGCCAATGGTGACACCGTCCTTGGCAACCGGTTCCAGAGTTTCCGAGTTGAGCACCTGTAAGCCGTCGAGGCCGACGTATTTCACGCCCTGCCGAGCCTTTAGCCTGGCCTGCTCATCGGGCGAAAGGCTGTCCCATTCGGGATTCCACTCGCACACCATATGTTTCCGTGAGCCCGTAGACGTGCGTCACATGAAACCCGAGAGCTTCGATTTTAGCCAGAACTGCTGCCGGAGGAGCCGCACCCGCGGTCATTATCCTGACTTGCCTGTGTTGGAGCCGCGAGAACGTTGAGCCCGTTGCCGCACTTATGATCGTGCTGAGCACCGTGGGAGCAGCGCAAAAGTTGGTCACGTTGTGCTCGGCTATGGCGGCAAAGATTCCTTTGGCCGTCACCTGTGGAAACGAGGAACTTTACTGCTATACGAGCGTAAATGAAGAGAAACGAGGAAAAGCAAACCTGGCGAAGACATATGTTGGTCCCGGCCAGAGCTGCGACTGCCCAAGGAAAGCACCACCCGTTGCAATGGAAGAGCGGGAGAGTCCAGAGATAGATGCAACCGTGCTTCATCTCCCAAGTCACGCACTCGCTTAGAGCCGAGAGATAGGCTCCACGGTGTGTAAGCATGACGCCTTTCGGGCTAGCAGTAGTTCCTGACGTGTAGGACACGGAGATAGTCTCGGTCTCATCCTCTGGCCTGCTCCACTCGAAACTTGGATCCCCTTCGCGGAGAAAATCTTCGTAGTCGCTGCTGCCGGGAGGCCACGAATTCTCCATGCCTTGGAAAAACTCGTCTCTTATCACCACCACGAAGGGAGCTTGGAACAAAGTCCCTGCTTTCGCTGTCCAGTCACGTAAAGCACCGCTAATCAGGTGGAGAAACTCCTCGTCAACAAGAACAGCTTTCACGCCGGAGTGATGGAAGAGCGTCGCGACGGTGCGCTGGTCTAGGCGGATGTTGACGCAATTGAGCACGGCCGAGGCCATGGGAACTCCAAACTGGACCTCGTACATGGCAGGAACATTGGGAGCCACCACAGCAACCTTGCAAAACAAGAAAAAACTTTTCCATCAGTCCTCACTAGAAACAAACAAGCCATGGATCGTGCAAATCAACGCATGGATTTTGCAAAACAAGAAAAGCGATCCATCAGCCTTCTGCTTCCTATAGAAAAAACCACTCTCAATCTAGAAACAAACAAGCCATGGATCTTGCAAAACAAGAAAAACTTCTTCTCCTTCCTCTAGAAAAGATCGCTCTCAATCCCAACAAGCCAACCAACTTCTTGGAATCTCTATCACGGGAACAAGGAGAGACACTTACAACATCGCCAGGGCCAATGCCTCGTCTTCGCAGTGCCGATGCTAGCCTCCTGCAGCGCTGGAGCTCCTGAGACCAGGTAAACCGCCGAGAATTGTAGATCACGGCCGGACGCTGGGGATGGATTTGAGCCGCGCGCTCCAGGAACACAAGCGGGCTAAGCGGCGCGTAATTCGCCTCTCCCAGATCCATGGCTCGCTGCGATGCTGCTGGTGGAATCCTCACTCACATCGCGAATCGATCGTTGACCGAAACCATAAACCCTATTCCAAAAGGGCAAAGACTAAAACCAGCCGCTATTCGTTCTAGGGTTCCTCCTTAGTCGTTGAGAGTACTAAGGTTTTCTGTGCCGGAGAGGAGAAATCGAGAGAGGGAGAGGGATTGATCGCTACTGCTGCTAAGAGAACGAGGGATTGACGCACTAGGGCGTGGCGATTAGCGCAGAGAGATGAGCGGCGCTCGAGGATCGTCATCGTCGGCGACGCCGGCAGCGGCGGCCGCGGCTCCAGCGGCGGCCATCCCAGCCAGCGCGCGCAAGGTCGTCCAGAACCTCAAAGAAGTGGTCGGGGTAGGGCACGGCGAGGAGGAGATTTTCGCGACGCTCAAGGAGTGTAACATGGACCCTAACGAGACGGCTCAGCGGCTCATGAGCCAAGGTAAAGCATCCAATGCCTCTCTAGCTCAAAACATTTATCCTCCCTTCGCGCAGATGCCTTCCACGAAGTGAAACGCAAGAGGGACAAGAAGAAAGAGGTGTGTTCTCGTCTCTCTTTTGGGTATCTGCATTGTCTCACGCCCTCTCGCAGGCTCCTGCCGGCAGCAAAGACTTGGGCGATGGTAGATCGAGAGGCACGACAGCTTACAGGGGCGGGAGAGGATCTGGAAGACTCACGCGCCACTCTCAAAACGGTAGTCCTCTCTCGGTTCTTGGAACGAAAGCTGATGTTTGCGTGTGTGTTTCCAGAGTCGAATGGTCGTGGCAAGGCTCTGCCTTCCAAGGAAAATGGAAACCATGCGCCTGTTCCTTCGGCTCCACAGTCTGGGTGAGTTCTATAGAAAAACTCTCTTCCTCCTCTAGCGGCATGGCGTTAAATCTCGAGTTACAGGAGCGCAGTGTCATCAGCTACTCCAGTACTTCCGAATGGATCCGTGCAGTACTCCTCGTCAACGGGACTTGTCACGCATGGGTCGTGGAGTAAAATCTCTGGTCACGCAACAATGGCCGAGATGCTAAAGTCCAGCACCAGCAACGGGCCACACCTCCCACCTAATATGTTAACAGCGGGTACCGGACAGCAGTTCTCGTCTTCTGGAATGTACTCGTCCAGTGATCCTGTGCATCATCCTTTTCCTGACCAACGGGTTATCAGGCGTGAGAAGCCTATAGGCGACAGGTCGGCGGCATCGGTTCCAGGCGGTGGATTGCCTTCGCCGCCTCACCTGCAAGATGATCGGTCCGGTAGTCCTCCTGGACTCCAAGAGACGAACAAGTTTCCAGATACAGGAGCTCGGCAGACTTCTGGATATCGATCGGCAGCACTTGGAAATGGAAGGCCTGCGTATCAGCAACAACAGTCTGTAAATAAAAGTAAGCTTCTCCTTTGCTCTTGGTTTTTGTTTCAGAGCGCTGATCTCGGTTATAACAGCTACTGGACCCAACATGGAGTGGAAGCCAAAAGTAGGGGCTCAAGAAGCTGTCACGGCGTCTGGACTAAACTCTCTGGAGAGGGTTCTGACAGAGGCCCCAGCTTCGGATATCTCTGAGGCTGAGGTGTTGTCTGTTGCAGCGAAGTTCCAAAATCTTTCGGCCCGTGATGAGCAGCAAGTAATAATGCCTAACAACTTTCAGTCTCAGGGAGATTTGGGCCTTAGTTTTGGTAGCTTTGGTGAGCCCCTTGGTTCTTCTCTTCCTTCTGGTTTCAGTTCGGAGGATGGTCTCGACATCTCTGGCTCTTCTGAAGCGTCAGTGGCCAAGGATATCCTGCGTGAGCAGTCACCTTCTGGGTAAGAAACTCGTCGCTGTTTCCTTCTATCTTTATGTCTACTGATGGTTTTCGTGCAGAGTGGATGCCGTGGCTCCTGATGAAACCCCTTTGCATCAGGATGATGACATACCTGTTCAAAGAGAGAACGCGACTTCAGCTAGTATTCCTGCCACCTATACACAGGTCGACGTCACGAAATTGCGGTCGACTCAACAAGCTCCACAATACCCGTATCTGCCGTCGGCACCAAACTACTCTACAAGTATTGGGATGGTTTCTCAAGTTCCCAGTGGCCAACACAGTTTTGACTCGCAAGTCCCTCATCTTCAAGACATGTCCAGTGTTCCAACTTCACTGGTGAGTCGCATCAATTGATATTTTCTGGTCTTGACTTTTTATTTTTACAGAAGCAGCAATACGCGGATTCTGCTACGAGTTTTTACTCGCCATCTCTTCGGCCTGGTTCTGACGCTGACGCCCGTTATGCGCAATACAGTTCTACCGCGAAGTACAATGGAGGAGTAGTGATGTCTGCTCAACACCTTCCAGCGCACGAGGTACTAAACCGCAGTTTCCTATGATTGATTTCTTATGTTTAATCGTTTGTTTTCAGGCATCCAATTCCACTGCCTTGTCAACCAGTAGCACAGTGTCTCAAGTGCCACAGGCAAGTGCGCCTACAGCTCCTCAGCAACCGCTTCAAGTTCACGCTTACCCGGCTCAGCCAACCGGTATGCCAGTGGGTCACTATGGCAACGTTTTCGGATACCAGTACCCGAGCTACACCTTCGTGCCTTCGCCATATCAGCACAGCTACGCAGCTAATTATCCACAGCCCCCGGTCAGCAGTTACTCACCATCAGCTAATTACGCCCCCGCCATGAAGTACACGCTACCTCAATACAAGCCAGGGAGTGCCACAGCCAATGCTCCCACTGGAGGCTACGGCGGATACGGCACTGCGTCGTCAATGTACGCGGCAAATCCGACGGCAACGGCCTCAAACACGCCCGGGTACGAGGATGGCAGCGCTGCTCAATACAAGGACAGCAACCTTTACGTCCCCGGTCCACAGGTGCCGAGTGTTTCTATTCGTTTTCATTCATGTAGAGATGATTTTTTTCTCGACAGGGAGACGGTGCAAGGCTGTGGCAACTGACAAACGACATAGCGGCGGCACAACAGACGAGCTCGTTCTACGCCTTGTCCAGCCAAAACCAGCACACGTACACGCAACCGAGCAGCCACACGCATCCGATAAACGGCTACACGAGCTTGTACCACCAGCCGGGGCCTGCCGGGAGCGCTCACCAGGTGATCCAACAGCCTCAACCTTTGGGCGGTGCTGCCGGGAGCACCCAAGTTGGAGCCACTAATTATCACCAACAGCTACAACGGATCCAGCAGCAGCAGCAGCAACAGCAGCAACAGCAGCAGCAGCAGCAGCAGCAGCCGAGCTGGAACTACTGATCCTGGCGAACGATGCAAGGCTTTTTTTTTTGTTCTTGGAGATCGATCGGCCGAAGATGTGGAGGTTTTCTCTTTACCACTGCTACTGAATCAAACTAACCATTGTACTGTTTTCCTTGAAACTTGTAGGAAGTTTGTGGGAGCTCGTGCTTTTCTATCTTTTGCTTTGTTTCAGCCTAAAGAAATCGAAGAGATGTATATATGGTTTTCACAAAATATATCAATACTATATAAATTTCGTGCTCGCACACACGCGAAAGATTCTCTCGAGCTGACAAGGTGTTAATGTTTAATTGTGTGTTCTTTGGCGGGCATATTCCACCACTACCGCCGCCCGCCGCTCATATATATATCTTGCTGTCCTCAGTACCTGGTTTACTTTTCCCTCTTCTGGTTAGGGTTTGAGCGCCTAGGGTTATCGCCCCATTTCTGTTCTTGGGGAGAGAGCAGGGCTTGGCGGCGGGCATCCTTGTCATAATCGCGCGCCTCGCAGCTCCCGCAGCGATCTAGCGCCGAATTCCAGGTGAAATCTCGCTTCTTTGTCTCTTCTTTCCGCTGCGGGCGAGCTTGAAATGTGTGCGGGTTTCTTGGATTTCCAGGCAATGGCGGTGGCGCACGCACAAATGGTAAGCTTGCTGCTGCGGTGGGAGATTGTGTGTTTTCTCACGCGAGAATGTAGGTCGGGAACTCGTTCATCAACCAATATTACAATGTGCTCCACCAATCGCCACAGGTGGTGCATCGGTTTTACACCAATGCGAGCTGCCTCACTCGAGCAGAAGCCGGTCCAGAGGGCCAAGCGGACACTGTCTTCTCACAAAGTGTACGATTCTTTCTCGTTTCCCTGGCTCTAGCTGAGGATTGAGTGGTTTTTCTTTTTCCTTTTTTTTTTTTTGTTCTTGTTCTTGTTCTCAGGGGATTCATGAGAAGGTGATGTCTCTAGACTACGTCGGGCTCAGAGCTGAGATTAAGACTGTGGACTGTCAAGATTCGTATTCTGGCTCGGTTCTTGTGATGGTCACTGGATCGCTGTCAAACCGCTCCAATGGAAGGCGCGACTTTGTCCAGACCTTTTTCTTGGCACCACAGGAGAAGGGCTATTTCGTACTGAACGACATTTTCCGGTATTTGGACGAGCCGCAGGTTTCGACCATGTCATACGTTGTGGCGAATGGTCCTCAAGAGCATTCTCCGACTCCAGAGTCTGGTAAATTTGTCTGCTGTTTTTCGATTTGTGTGCCTTCGTTAAGCTGTTTCGTGCACTGTGTAGTTCCGGATACTACTCATTTGGAAGTGAGTGAGGCTACGCCTGTTGCTACTGAAGAGCAAATAGATGAGGGATACGATATACCAGATGCGGACGAAGAGGTTTTGGTGGAGGAGACTGTCCAGAATACCGTACCTTTGGATGCTGACGAAGTTCTGGACATCGAGGATTCGCAATCGCAAGCAGACGAGCCAAAGAAATCGTACGCATCAATCGTAAGTTGATACTTACAAAGCTTCTCTTGAATGTAATGGGCGTAAGTGGCAATGCTGCAGTTGAGGGTTGTCAAAGCCGGAGGCGGTGACAGTGTCCAGCATGTTCTTCAACACAGCCCGAAGCCTCCGCCGTCAATTCCCGCTGAAAAACCTGCGTTGCCTGTGCCTCAAACAGTGGTGCAAGAAAGTCCAGTGGTATCTCCGCCGATCGAAACAACCGATGAGACTGCTGCAGCTCCCGACACACAAGGTATGATCAGTGAATACCATGCGGCTAGTGGTAACCATCGTCTTGTTGATCAGGTGATGGAAAATCGATTTACATCAAGAACCTCCCAATGTCCGTCACCACTGCGCAACTTGAGGAGGAGTTCCACAAATTTGGGACTGTAAAGCCGGGAACTAATATCAAAAAGGTAAATAGGCAAAAGATTATTCTGTAGTTCCTGCCAACCAAGTAATCCTGTTTTTTATCAGCAAAACAATGTTTGCTACGCGTTTCTCGAGTTTGAAGATGCAAGCTCGGCACGATCAGCGATCCAGGTAGTTGCCCGTGACAGTATTGCTGCATTGAATGTTTTCTAACAGTAATCGTTATTATTCAGGCCTCCGGCTCGTTTCAAATCAGCGGCAAGCCTGTCATGATCGAGGAGAAGAGGCCGCTTAGCGCTAGAGGTATTGTTTTATGGTTGATGGAGTCAATCCGTAACATGTTCCTTTCCTTGTCCTCTACCGTGCCAGGCTACCGAACAGGGGGCCGGGGAAGGGGAAATCGAAATGACGGGTCTCGAGGCAGGGGCTACTACAACCGTGGTGCTGCTGGTCCCGCTCCTCCTACCGCTGCTCCTGGCGGTGGTGGCGGCGGTGGCGGCAGCGGCAGCGGTGGCAACAGGAACTACGAGCAGGGAAACCGGGGCCGGGGCTCTCGCGGGGGATACAACAGCGCTAACAACAATCCAGGGGACGGTGGCCGAGATGGTGGTCGCTCCAACAGCGAAGAATATCATCCGCGGTACGAGAGCCAGGGCCACAACTACAACAATAACTACACCAACACCAACGCCACCAATGCTGCTACCAACAGTGGCAACTCGAGCGCCGGCCACCACCACCACCAAGCCAACAGCAGCAACACCGGCAGCAGCAACAACCACGGCTATCCAAACTCGAGGCCTCCTCGCCGGTACGTCAGCCGCGGCAACAACAACAACAGCAACAGTTCCAACAACAGCAACAACCCCAATTACAATCGAAGCTCCTCGTCCTCGACTGGCGGCGCTCCTGCTGCTCCTCCCGCGGCGGTCACAGCTTGATTGAGGCGAGATCTCTGGGGAGTGGAAGCAACTCCCCGGTTATCTCTGGTCTCTGTTCATCCGTGATCGTCGCGTCGTCGTCGTCATCGTCGCCTTCCTTCGGCTCTCTTGGTGGGATTGTATTCATTCGCAAAATTTTTGTCAGGCTTCTCCATACTACTACAGGCAAGCTCTCTTTCTCTCTTCCTCGTCTTGGTTTTTCTTCTTTCTATTTTCCTTGATTTTTCCTGTGTAGAAAGGTGCGTAGTTTTAGTTTTGGTAGCTCTACTATCATCGAGTGATTGACCGGGTTTGTGTAACGGGCATTAATTTTGTCAAAAAAGTGACTTCTTCGAATAATCAGGCATATTCTTTTAGGGATATTCTGTGTTGTAAGGAATATTCTGCTTCCATCCCTCGTCGCCACACGGCTTGGGTAGGCCGTCTCGTTCCTTCGGTGCCCTGCCCTCGAAATTTCTTCCTCTAGGTCGGTTCCATCGGCGCCGATCAATTCAATCGGCTCGATCGCGTCCCCCGGGCGCCGAAGCAGCAGCGATGGGCGCGGGCTTTTCCAAGGAGGAGCAGCTGTATCAAGCCGTCCACAACGGGAACCATCAGCTTGTGAAATCTCTCCGGCGCGATGGAGCGTCTTTGGAGGTTCGTGTAGAGATTTTGCTTCTTCTTCGTCTTCTTCTCATCAGTGGGGTGATAGTTTCTGGACAAGGAGGGCAGGACCCCCTTGATTTTGGCCTGTGCTCGCCAAGATCTGTTTGACATGGTCGTCACTTTGCTCAATCTCGGGGCTAATATAAATGCCTATAGACCTGGTAAGTCAGCTCTCTCTTTCGTTCTAGACTATGTAGATAGTTTACTCTATCGCGTGGAATTTGTTCATGTAGGCTCGAATGGTGGATTTCCATTGCATCATGCCGCGAAAAGGGGCCTGGAGAGAACTGTGATTCTGCTTATATCCAGAGGAGGTCGGGAAGTTTTTTTTTTCTGAGTCACTACTACTGAAGTCATTCTGTGCATGCAGCTGATCCTTTATGCATCAATGACGATGGACAAACTCCTTTGGATATGGCCAGACTACGGGGACATACTTCGATCGTCCGGATTATAGAGGCAAGCGAGCGAGCGAAAATTCTATTTATTTTGACGAGGAAACTTTTTCAGGATCGGATAGCTCTGTTTACTGGGATGATTCGTGAAGTTTCGGGGCCTGGCTTGCTGGAGGTCTTTGTACCGCAATGGGTGACCAAGAAAGTGTAAGTTTTGCTTGGCTCTTGCAACGTCATGGACTGCTTTGTGTTTTTAGGTGGGTTGCCGTTGTCCCAGTTCAAGCTAACCAGAGACATCCTCCAAGGCACGAGCTCGCTATTTATCAGTCTCCCAAGGTCTGGGTGTTTACTTGCCCGATTGTTCTTTTGATGTATATGAAGGATTTCTTTGGTAGGTTGCGGCGCCGAGAACCGTCATTTCACTCTGGAAGGCGGATCTGGAAGAGCCAAAGTGGAACACTGGAGCACCAGTTTTGATAGTCACAGAAAGAGCTACAAGTAAGCTTCTGGTTTGCTTTCTTTTCTCTAGCAGCAAGCTTGTTTTTCTGTAGAGATGAAATACAAGTTCCTGTCTGAAGCGGACGGTGACACCGCTCAACTGGAGAAACTGTACAGAGCATGCAGAGGAATACCTCCGGTGAGACATCATCCCAGTTTTTCTTTCTGTCCGTCTAGACTTCGCTGTTTTTTTTCTTGGCAGGTGGTTCCAGCAATGGGATACCCTGTTCCTCCACTTCCTGACAACCAGGACGACGTTGCACTGGCTATGGCATTAGATGCTTCTCTTCAGTCTGCTGGAGCGAATGGAGGATGGGGTGACCAACCCGGCAGTGAAAACTACAACGGATGGGGAGTTCAACAACAAAATCAACAACACCACCCCCAACAACAGCAACAGCAGCAACAGCAACAGCAACAGCAGCAGCAACAGAAGCAGCAGCAGCAACAACAGCAACACCACCAACAAGAGCAGCAGCAGCAGCAGCCGGCCGGTTCAAAGAAGAATGACTGTGGAGGCTGGGCAGTCGATGGCAGCAGCAGCAGTACCAGCAGCTACAATGGTTGGGGAACTCCAGAGCCGGGGCAAAGCAGCTCAGAAGCTTCAGTGGCCACTCCCGCGGCACCGGAAGAACCTCCATCCGCTCCACCGCTGCCGGAGGACGACTTTGTTGTCGGTCCGATCCACTATCCCTCCATCGACACCTCTCCAGTGACTAATCCAGTTCCAGTTTCTAGCGTCGCAAAGGCCTCCACTGCCACTGCTGCCACGCCTGTGGCGGAAACGGAGAAAGCTGGTGGCCAGTGCGTGGTTTGCTGGGACGCTCCAGCACAGGGCGTGTGCATTCCGTGTGGCCATCTAGCGGGCTGCATGGGGTGCTTGCAGGAAATCAAGAACAAGAAGTGGGGGTGCCCGGTTTGTAGGAGTCCGATAGAGCAGGTGGTGAAGGTATTCGCGGTATAGAAAATATTATGGTCAGAGATTTGTACAGGGGGTGACAGGATAAAACAGGGATGGGAGTGATGACAACGCAGAGGCTTGACTCCCACGAGGATCTCGAGTCGAGCTTCTGGATCGAATATATAAGCGCAGGCAGAAAAGGGGTTACTTAGAGTGTGGAAGTATGAAGGGAGCTTCTGCTCTGGTGGTTTTGGGAGTGGTGGCTTTTGTGGCTCTGGCTATGGTGGCTTCGTCTTCTCCACTGGGAGCGACTGAGGAAGGCTGTGGTGGCTACAAAGATCTCATCAACAAGTGCTACCAGATCGAGTTTGATGAGTGCTGCGCCAAGGCCAAGCAGGCGATGGCGGAGAAATGCGTGTGTAGTATCGATGGCGCCCGCGACGTGCTGCTCGAGGCGTGCGCGTTTGATCCAACAGATGCCAAGAGCTGTCCTGCTTTAGCAGCTTTTTAATTAATCTACGAAACATTGTTGTTGGTTTAAGTGAGCAGAGACTAATCCTTGCGTAAAAATCATAACAATAAATATTAAGAAACAGTGATAAATTTGAATAACCATTTACTATGAAGAACCTTAAGTTGATTTTTTATAACTTTTAACTTTTATGATAATAATATCTTAATATATGTTTATTACTACTAAATTTACAATTCTGTTGCCGGCATTAGTTATATCATGTTAGAATCATTTGCATTCAATTTATATATATTATTATTAATGTTTCTGTGTGTAATTTTTTAACATTAATTTGCTGGAAATTCTTCAACTCAAGCTTGGGAACAAAATTTTTTGCCGAATGAAATAATTTTATCTTTAATTTTAAAATATACTTGAGTAAGTTTTTCTATTATAGTAAAAAAGAAAATAATCTTTCTTATAAGAAATTTTAAGGATTTTTAACTAAATAATTATCCTAAAAAATTATATAAATTACATATAATCATATTTTTATTTAATTGTAGCTAATGTTGGAAAAAATACACAAAATTGTTATAAGTATAACTTGATATATTAAAATGCACCGAACAATTCAATTAAAAGGTGGAGTAATGATATGTGCAAATGCCAAGTATTGCATTAAAGAAATTCTTTTT